TTGCATTAATTAATGCACCCCTTATATATTTTACAATGTATTCTCTTTCTGTACAGTTGCATGATAAAATACATACCTGTATTGCTCAGTGTATACTTATCATATCAAACACTACCTGCAGCACTAACGGTCTATAAAAGCAGGAACGTTTTTATCTTACTTGATATTACATCCAGTCAACATTCCTGCAGGATTACATCTTTACTGTTCAGTTTTCTTATCTGCGGTCCTCTTAGTATTTCCCATTTCTATATTTCCTCTAATACTGCAGAAAATAGCTGAGCTTCTTCACTATCAGTGACTGTTCAGCACAGCTCAGAAGGCTTTGCTTTGGGCAGTGCATTTTAAAGCCTTAAGCTATGACAGTGACTTCCCTAGACACTCTCCAGGGGTATTTTCTTTTTATATATTTGTTGATATCCAGTTTAAACTGTAAAAGAGTTGTTTTTTGTCTACAACATCAGGTGTGACATGGCTCATATATGTTTTTTTCTAATTCAGAGATTGATCGGTCTTCTATCTGTCTTGCAGATGATCAATCCTCCGTCTATATGAGAGACAAAGACGGTTTGTCATCAGACAACAGCTGCAGGAGGGAGAGAGAAGGACTCGTTTGCATTGCTGCAGTGTCGCTGTGACAGAGAGCAGATGTTCTCTGTGATTGCTTAGTGGTGTGTTCATTTCCTCTCTGTTCCTCATTCAGCTGAAGCATTACTGTCATCCTTTACTTAAATTCACACTCCACGAGGACAAAATCATCCAACACTTCAGTTTCTTCATGATTTTTTTTTTCTTTGTCATGTACTTTATTAAAATCATGCCAGAAAAATAAGACCATTGTGTGTGAACTGGTTTATTATTTGTGCTGCTTTTAATAGTTTTCTGGATCAGGCTAAAGGTGTTCAAAATGTACGCAGTGACATGCTAACATTTGTGAAACGAACTCAACGTACAGCTAAAACAGTGGAAATGTAATCATAAATGTCAAAAAATGTACAAATGTAAATCTCATCGTGGCGTTATAGTGAGGGATCACCAACGTTATGGTAGAAAATGTTCTCTGAGTAACATTAATGACTGCAAAAAAGTTTATGCAAATCCAGACTTATTTGACTAAATAGTGGATAACAGATCATCGTTCATCATCAGTCAAAGGTCCCATATTATGCTTTTTCTGATTTTATATGCCCTTTAGTGTGTTTTCCATGTGTCCTGTGCATGTTTAGGCACATCTATGTGCAAAAATTCAAAGTCCGCGGAAACGCGACTTCTCCTACATCCTCCTGTTAGCTGTAGCATTAGCTGCATGTAACACTCGGTTCCAGCCCCCCTCGATAAAAATTTGTCAGTCTGACATCATTGTCAGTGTGAGATCACTGATCTAAGCCCATTGGCTCGTTGTGGCAAGCCCTGCAGCTCATGTTGAAATTTCCGAGAAGCGTGCTGAGCAACTGACCAATAACGACAGAGCTGATCGGCAGACCAATCAGAGCAGACTTGGCCCACGTGGGGTCTAACAGTGGGGCTCAACAGAGTGCAGCTGACGGACTCAGAGCGTAGAGGGAGCAAGGAGGAGCAGTACATGAAAACAGACACTTTTTTCGGACTTTAGATATTGTGAACGTACAAAAGTAAGTACATAGATTAAATATAAGAACCCCAAAAAGGGCATAATATGGGCTCTTTAAAAAATGGATGGTGTACTAGTGGTAAAAAAAAAAATACAGAAGAAGACAGACTTTATGCGTGTGGATGAGCTGCCATGGACGTGGACATGTATTTGAAAAATATAGCGTCAGTAACATGAGGTACGAGGTAGTAACAGTGTATTCACCAAAATGATAGAGATAGATAGAAGCAACTATGTTAATTGCATGCTCTTGTTAGATGATAGAGAAATGTATTAGGGTATAGTAAAAAAAAGAACTATCTTCAATTGATTCAATTGTTCAAAAGTATACGCTGCGAAAGACAAAGTGGAGTTACATTAGCTCTATCAAGTCTAAACTGGTATCAACTGTGACTGTCTTTGTCCCAACTGCATGGCTAAAATACATCTTCCACAAAGATCCCTTTGTGGGTCAAAACAGAAGAGCCACTTGAACATCCCTCTTCTATGGAGGCTTTTCTCACACAGACAGATAGGCCTGTCCTGCTTAAGGATCCAGTGCCGGCCTTTGCAAGAGAATCTTGGAGAAAGGCACATCCAATAACAAAATGTGATCTATATCTCAGATCATCCATATAAAAACTCTTCATAGATAAAAGAGTTATTCTGAAATAAATGGGTTGGGTGCAGCATTCATACTCTGAATGACGTGGTGGAAATACATATAATAAATCATATACATATTTGTTATAATACATTATACAGGACGTATCTTTTAAAAAAATCACCTTATTACAGTAACGTCTAGAAATATGCATCGACATGAGGTTACCTAGCTAACACACCAGGACACTAGGAAGTTAAAACTAACTAATGCAGAAGTCTGACATATAACACAATGGAAAATTATTGTTTGTACTAGCTGGAAGTGCTGTCACGGAGCCACGCTAGCTGTTTCTAGCTTTATGCTATCGGGCTTGTCTGTCATTAGCCTACTTAGAAAGAAAGTAGCTTAAATGAATATTAAATAGTCAAACTCTTTAACAGTTGTCTCAGGTCCCAAAACTGAGGATTTAGGACTTGACCTGAATCAGGCGTAATTAGTATTAACCTGGTGTAATCCTGGAACAGCAAAGAGATTAATATTAGGTACAGAGGTTCTTAAAAGCTGTATTAAACACTGTGAGTTTAATTATGAGGCTTATAGTGCTGACAGCTTCATGGTCATTTTGTCATGATGAGGGTGTTTTAAGATGTGAATGCTTTGTTTAGTTTTTTAACATATTTATCTTTCTCTCAAACTGTACAAAGTGAGACTAACAAGCAGGACAGCTTGTGATCACAGAGAGACAATTGACTGACTGAGCTGAATTCCTCTGGTGAACACACACCCTGTCTGCGGGGAGGAAAACTGTCCTCTTCACGAGTTTATTCCTGCTGCATTATTTGTGTTACATAACGGCAGTTTCACTTCACCTCATCTGTCAACATCTTTTCTCTGTAGACAGCAGACATGTGGTGGAGCTTCACTCAGTAGTGATGTGGAAACAATGAAACGTATGAAAAATGTTTTTATATGAGCCAAAACTGCTGCTTTTGTCAAGCGTTTCTGTCACACTGACAGTCATGTGCAATGTTTTTTTATTTATCTGCCAGATGATTCATTATTGTCTATATAATTCAGATTGTCTAGATTAAAAAATTCAATTTTTTCCCATATATCAGTAGATTCAAACTAACCTCCATGCCTACAAGCCATATCTAATGATCAGCAGTTTTGTAGGTCATCAACCTTAACAGAGATATAAGAATTATTTCAATACAATCTGTTTTGTTAAAGTCAAATTGAGTTCAGGACGGAGTTAACAAGTTCACCCTCTGATCACTTCATCCTCAGAGATTGTACTACAGTCAGCATCAGCAGCAGATACAAATATAGCTTTTTTTTGTGTGTGGGTGTGTGTATGCGTGTGTTTGAGCGTGTGTGTGCGTGTGTGTGTGTGGCACATTTGGAAATTACAGAGTATAGATTCCATACTAAATCATTTGACTCAGACACACACTCACAAAACAAAGCATTTATAGCTCGGGCTCCTCGGCTGTGGAACGACCTGTCTGAGGATCTCTGACTAGCTACATCAGTATCTTCTTTTAAATCAATTTTAAAAAGACATTTTATCGAAAGGTCTTCTTATAATTCTTGTTTCATCCATGATGTTTTATTTGTTTTACTGTTAACTTTAGCAAATCTTTGTCTTAGTTGTTTCCATTCTCTGTTAATTGGGTGATTGCTGCGTTGTTTTATCATTGTGTATTGTTGTGTATTTTACTGTTGGGATTTTTATAATCTGTAAAGCACTTTGTGATGTTGGTTTATAAATAAACTTTATTATATATTATATTGTTAAAACTGTAATATTTAAATAATATGAATGTAAAATTGTTGCTCACTTTGTATTTTTCTGTTTTGCATGTAAAGAACAAGGAGGAAATAAATGTCCATCTATGTATTTTTAGTCGAATGTCTGTTTGTCAGACAGGTTAGAAAGAAATGGTTTACTGGTTTGTCCTCTAATTCCATTTTTAGCCGAAATCCACAGTTCACACAAGCAACACTCCAGAGGCATTAAAACAGAATTAAAGGCAGGGTTGATAATTTTAGAAAACTAGCATGATTTTGAAAGTAGCATTCCCTCAGTGCTATATCTGTACCCACCCACTCCCATCTGTGCTGCCTCAAAAGCCATGCCCCTCACTTACATGCACAAGAGACCATTAGTGAAGAAGCGGAGCTCAGCTCATGCTTTGAGCGTGGGCTCGAGCATGCATGATGCAGAGAACGAGCAGGGAGACATGATTGGTTCATCAGATTGGTACCTCGTGGCAGACATTGGTCAAAGTTTTACAGGCTTACAAGCTGCTACAGATGACAGATTTTCTTCATTCCTTTTTCAGAGCACAATTAATTATTAATGTCTGTCAGGACCTAAAGACAATTTCAACCAAAATCTTAATAAGTGTATCTGGAGAAAATTATCATCCCTGCCTTTAATCAATTAATGAAACCCCTGTAGGTAACCTTTGGTCAGTTAAGTATTATACAGTTGTCATGGGGTTGACCTCTTGACATTTATTGGAACCGGCCCATAGAGGAACAAAACCCACACTATGTAGCGTAAAACTGATGTCTCACCTCTTTAGATAAACTAGGGTGAGTTTGTATTGTTTTCTTTTTTCTTTTTTACAGATTTGTGTGTATTTACAGGAAAATGTAAATGTTTTGCCAAAGTGAAGGAGAATAATTCATAATAACTATCAACATTCATCCTGCATACTTAAAATCTAAGGATTTATTATTGGAGAATTTTAATAAAAAGTCTGTCATAATGTCTGTTTTTTATGAGCTTGTGTTTATTGTTGTACACAGTTAGTATGCTTTTCTGATTAGTTTTACGGTTAGTACACACATTTTTCATCTGCATTTTTATTCTGCAGCTGACGTTTCTGACCGCATGATCTGCAATTTGTAGCTCCTTCAGCTGTATACAGATGCTCAGGAATCAGTTCAGCATGGACTATTTTAAAGAAGAAGCAGCTGAAACATGACCGTGGTGGATGTGTGTGCATAAATAGGGACGGGGATATTACAATTGCACATAACAGTTATCTCATGGTAACACATACTACAATCACACTCTTTAATGTTTGTTCATCTCTGACAAACAATGGAGAAGTTGTCCATTCAGAGTCCGACTGAGATTTTACCACCCTGAACATAAGTCCAAAGGCTGGGACAAAAAAAACAATATTTACATTAATAAATATTAGTTAATATTTATAAAACAGTATCAGAAGTGAAACTTGAAAAAACATTCAGAGCTTTCTCAGGAAACAGAAAACTTAGATTTTGTGTAATTGCCAAGAACACATTTTATTCTTTTCATAAGAAAATAAACGTCACGATGACATTGTGGTAATATTAAAAACAACAACTTTTTTATAATTGACGCTAAGTGAATAAGCATGTTTCCTTTCCAAGCAGCTACCTTCTTATCCAGCTCATGCAGCATGAAACACTTCAGTGAACACAGGCTATACTTTCATAGTCAATAGGTTGGACAAAACTAAAGAAATTGCTGATCAGTTCGCTGGCAGTAACCTTCAATATGGCAAAGAGACAAAAAGATCCCTGACATCCTAAGATGAAATCAAATATTGTTAAATATAAAAGGCACTTCAGGCTAAAACTCCAGGGTCTCTGTGATGTGGGTTTCAACACAAACCATCTGTGACTGACAGGAGGTTTGGTGCTGAGGGCTCCACTCTTGTTTATTCAACCTCCTTAAAATCCTCAGTGAGTTTAGTCACGCATGACTTCTGTTGATCAAGTACTGAAAGTAATTTGCATTTTCATGCACTGAAAGTTTGTGTCATCAGTCTGTCTTCCTGTTTGATCTTCAGAGTCGAGTGCCTCCTTTCTGAGGAACTTATTTCAATTTAAAACATATTTTTTAATCAACTAATCTTTGCAGCTTCCATTAAAAAATGTCTGTTCACCTAAATATTGAGCAATAACTAAACTCACTACCAGACCTAGTCAGCTAAACCAATTAAAAGACGTTCATTCCATTATGTTCAGTTTTGATGTCAGCTGGGTTATCACACTGCTGGTGTGAGGTGTTGATTTCCACCTGCAGTCAGGCAACCTAGTAGCTGCTTTGAGCTTTGTTTCACTTTTTTTTTTCTCACACTAACAGTTTAAAGGCTAATTCTGTTAGGAGTTGAAGTCTGCTAGTTTCAGAGGTAGGTGATACGTGATTGTCTGTAAGGTGTGGAAGCAGGATATTTCAATTAAAAGATGATTATGTCTTACTTTTAACTTATCTCCACACACCAAACACATGATGGGAACTATAAACAAGTAAGTGCGTATTTAGAACATGAACAACGAACTCCACGTGTCCTTGTTGTTTGTTTTTAGCTCTTGACTCAACGGGACATTTTATAGTTGAAAATGAAGCTTATAACTCTCTGGAAGACGAGCCATGTAATGTTGACAGTGTCTATGTCGGCAATTCTGTAGTGCAATTTTATGTCACTTATCCGGCAACATGTACAGTATACACACACCGATATCTGGGATGAGCTAACATGGCAAATATTATTAGCCATATATATTTGTTTTAACTTACAAGTCTACATGACACCATCCTTTCATAATAATTCATATAGAATTTTGACACAGTTTCTGTATAAGCTGTAAACGTGCAGTTTCAGGGTACACCAAAAGTACAGATGAGGCAAAGCAACTTGAGCTGAATACTTGTGGCTAGTGGCACACACACGGGGCCAACCAGACACAGGAAGTAAACGAGGAGGGGGGGATTGAAATGCGAGAGCCCAAGGGGAGCGGTGGAATAAGTTTCAAATCTAGATTTGAAAATCCTGATTTTCCCCCCAAAAAATCGATTTATCCCCAATCCCTCCTGCATCATTAGACTCAGCTGACTCAACACATCTGTGGTGAGGTGCTGTGGTTAACTATTGCATGAAAGATGAATAATAAAAATAGAATGAATTCTGTAGCATCCCGTGGAACTCTGCTGGATGCCCAATGTGATTGAACTGATCCAACATCACTGCACTACGATTGCATTAGTAAATGTAGCCTCTGTTTGAGGATTTCAGAATTCATGGTCAACAGGAACTCAGTCAGTCCTCCTGTGAGCAGTTCGTCCATAGGAACAAACTGCATCACCTGTCTGTCACACTCAGGCGAAGGGTTTTTAGCCGAGTCCTCCTCTCCTCTTAACAACTGACCCATAGAGTCTTGGACGTTAGTGAGAACAGGGAGTATCCGTGCAGCAGCTTCAGCGCAGAAGCCAACACACACAAGAACAGAACCAACAACGCCTGAGGGTGGAGGACACCTGAAAGTGACTGAGCGAAAACACACATGCAGGCAGAGCACAATAGCTGCTGTAACACGGGTGAGGGCAGACAACATGGGCAGCAGCAGGGCATCCCCAGAGTTCAGGGTCTGTAGGGAGGAAACAACACAAGCTAAGAGCTGCTGCTGGTACAAAGGCTCCCCGTCGTGCAATAGGACACATCCTCTCTGAGGAAGGCAAGGCTCTGCAGAAAATGTTATGGCCAAATTCTCATGTTGGTTTTCACCCCAGACGTGGCTGCTGCCAAACACCAGACACTGTCTCTGCTTTTTTTTCTCCTCACTGCTGCCTGGGTAGACACAGAGACCTGCAACTTCAGACAGAATGGAGGCAGCGAAAGCCACACTGCAAGAGGCACAGGGTGGTGTGAGAGTCCAGTCGAGTCTTGTGTCCATGAGGGCTTCATTTAGATGGTTTAACAATCCTCCGTCACAGACTGCAGAGTTTCTGACTGCAGGCAATGCAGCCCCAACAATAACGTACCATGAATCCACCAGAAACTCAGTCAGGGTCCCTCCAGCACACAGCCGATCCCACTGGCCTCAACGCGGTGTCTCTTTATCTCTGTGGCATGGCAACCCCTCTCGATCCGCTCCCTCCAGCTCAGGGTCTGCAATTCCCTGCGCTCATTGAAGGAGCCTGTTTGCTTCTTCTGTCCCAGCGGTCGGCCCGCTGAGATGCTGCAGCAGGCGGGACTCACCGTGTTACGAGAGACCCATCGACTCCGGGGAAGGAAGCTCACCTAAACACAGAGACCAAATGTTTGATTACAAATATGCACAAATAAAGTTTATCAGGAAATACAATGACTGGAGTGAATAATTAATTACCAGTTGTTTACATTCAGTGAAATAACAGTGTTTATTAAAATTCAATTTCTTAAGGGTTTCTACCTTTATTTAGCCTTCAGCTCTTATACAAAGATGCTTCATAGAGTCACGTGTCACAAGTCTTTCCAGCATGAGATTTACATTTAACTCGATGCCATTTATCAAAGAAGGATTGACAGCTTCTGTTACAGCCATGCCAGCAGTAGGGTGAGGCTGAACTTGCAACATAGCCACACCCTAACTCATCATGCTGCCATGGTCATGATGATGGAGCCAAATTGCTAATGCTGAGCAGGTATACGTAATGTTTACCCAAATAATATATATAAGAGTCAGACAAACCCACCATAATGTTATCCATTAGTATGTGCATTGTCAGTTTGGCCTAACCTGATGTTTTTTGGAGACAGATGGTAGCATGTGTAAAGTAGAAGGTGGAGATGTTTTGCTTTATTACTCATTTACTCCAATTAGGACCATAATTGACTAATTGAACCTCAATCTGTATTGAAGAAGACTTTACAAAAGTGATTGAGATCCTGAGATGATAAATCAAGTGAAGTTAGGCTGACAAGTAAACATTCTCATCCTGCTGACATTTAAAAAGCATGCAGGTTAAATGAAGTCCTAATTTTCTTCACTTTTAAAATATATTTTGGCAATGTGAATGATCCTAGTGTTGGCTTGCCAATTTTGTTAAATAGCATAAAGCATTTCCATTTCTAGAGCCATGACACCAACTTGGCTGTAACATAAACTGACAAATCTTCAGTGTCATTTAAAGCAAGAATATGTAACTTTCCCAACTTGAAATAATCATTTCAAAGTCAATCTAATAGAACAATAACTTTCAACAGGGAGAATGGCATCCATCCCATTTCCACAGAGAACTTTATTCACCTGTTTCAGCACTATGTAACTTTGGCAGTGGGCGGTTTCGTGAGTGTGTATGGCTTTATGGCACTAGTTCACACACAGCCTTCAGCTAAAAAGAGATGGAAGACGGATATGGAGAAAAAGAGAGAGTGGCTGAGCAAGAAGGTGAACTGTCAGGAGTAATAATGGATAGGCTTTTACATGTTTGGTAAGAGCTTCACAAAACAGTAGGCTGAAAGTCAGACACTGAACTGTAAATGTCAACACACCGTTCATGTTTTACGTCAGTGAAGTTGTCCTCAGAGACCTTAGTGGTGCCATTGCTCACCAAACCGAATTTCTCTATAATTTTGCTTGAATATGCAAAACATTGACTGATAATAGCTTCTAAAATGCTCCTTTCTTCGTGTAATATAATGAAAGATTTGATTCATTTCTCTTTAGTTTAGTATGTCAGACTAAATTCAGATGTCAGGCCTGTTCAGATACTACACAAACTGATGTACCAGCAGAAGATGACTAATCTGGGACTTCTGTTCAGGTCTTTTTCTCTTTGGGTCTGAATTCAGATGATGATAAGTCTGTTACAGTGAGGTACACTTTTACCAGCAGATGCTAAATCTACACTGTGCTATGGTTTTTCTGCCCATATTTCTCACTGGGAAACTACATCTCAAAAGTACTCTAAACTGGACTTCACTGAAGGCCTCAAAAGGACAGTTTCACTTTAGAAAGAGTTTCACTCATTCATTTTTAATTCATTTATTCCCTTTTAGGTCAACGTGGACAAAAAAAGTCCCTTAAGTGCCCCGTAAAAAAAATAAAAGCTTAACATTGAAAATTCAACGACGACGAGGGAAACTCAATCTGCTGATGAGGAAAATGCGATATGATTTTTAACTTGAGCAAATGATCCTTTAAGTGAACTTGTTTTGTTGTCTGCCATTTCAAAGCTCAATAATTTCTATAGTGACATCAAAAGACAAGTTCATGGTTCAAGGAACTCCTACCTGGAAGCGCTGCAGGTATTCCTGAGCTGTACAGTCCCTGATGTAATCGAGATGCTGCTTCTGCTCTGCACTCATTCCTTTAAACAGTTGCAGGTTTTCTGTGATCGTCCTCACCTGCAGTGCGTGGAAGTATGAACTCACTTCTTCATGCTGTTTCAAAAAAGACTCTGGTAGAAGAGATTTTGGGAAAAGTGTCTCACGGTCAGCCATATGTGGTCCATAGTTACGAATCAGCTTAGAGAGCAAAGGCCTCACTGCCTCCTTTCCGTCGTAGTTCAGACATATGACATAAACCTCAGAGTTTCCTGCTTTGCTAGTTGCAGGTTTGAAGACGTTTACAGAGTGAAAACAGCAGTTCAGCAGGTAGAGTAAGCAGACAGAGGTGTGTTCATACAGAGTGAACATTTTCAGTACGAAGGAGCCACCCGGGCTGAGGAGCAGCAGTGCAGCTGTGACCTCGCAGTAATGTAGCGACGCCACCAGCGCCTCCTGCTCATCCGGGTTCTCCTGACAGTCAAAACTCCCATCTGCTGTCACTAAGTCGACTCTGCGCATGTTGGCCACAAACGCCTGCAGCTCCAGCAGATGTTTCTGCAGCATAATGTTGCCTGTGTTATCTGAGCCAAAAAACCACCAGGGCAACGTATTGGCAATCAACCGATCGTCTGCAATGGTGGTGCTCCCTCCATTGGCCTCATGGTACGGGTTGAGAGTGTTGGCTGCCCAGCTCCAGTCACAGTAGCGTGTAGAGTCGCTCGTTTTGATATAGTGGTTTAGAGAGGTTATGAAGGCTCCTGGAGCCTCACAAAGGTGGACCGTGTTCAGCTCTCCGTTTTGAAGAGCCTCCTCTGGAAGAAGATCAAATGTTCCCAGGATCTCATAGAACTTGCACCAGGCCTGGGTGCAGATCTCAGCGTTAGCAGCAGAGCGCACTGTGGCGATGACTTTCCCGGCTCGATTTGTGGAGTTGGTGTGCTGGTGCCAGACCTGGACGTTCTTGTCACTGAGCTGGTTCTTCACATCGTTCAGTAACACTTTTAGGTCCTGCAGCCTGCAGTGCTCCTCTGCAGAGTGTCTGAGAGCAGCATTTGGGTCAGGGATGCACCACTCCCCGCTGGACGGTTTCACATAGGTCCTTACTTTTTTAAAAAGACTCAGAATCTCAGTCTGTGTGTCCTGGTCCAAAGCGACCATGTTGTTGAAATGGTGCAGCTTGCTGACTTTCCGTCTGGTCCCATTGCTTGAGCTCATCCTCCTTACCTGTTGAAAGACAACAACAATAGTTTTTAAAAAAAACACACACACACACATCTGCATCACTGATTTTCTTTTTAGATGTGATCCAGCAGATGGTGTAGTTGTTCTGTGACCTGCTTACAGGGCACAGGTTGAGTCAATCTGAAGAAATAAAGTCTGCAAGCACAACATTTCACAGTGAATTTAACCAAGGCCAAGCTCTGCTGCCCCTCATTTCCCTCTACATGCATGAGTGGTGTTGAATTACTCATGTTGACTCATTGTTTTGTGGTGTCCTCAGGCAGCAGGTCAGACTGTAACTACTGGTGATTTCTTCACAGGGCCACCCACTCCAAAAACAAGAGATTTTATGAATCAGTCACTACTACAATACATGTTTCCTCTTAGTCAAAAGTGGTTTATCATCAGTTACATATGAAGACAACAAGAGGGTCTAAAGTCTAACGGAAGCACTCCTAAGACCATATATCTCAAAATTGTCCATTTTCATGAGCCAAGAAAACAGCATTATTTAACTTTTGATAATATACTTCTTAAAATTGAAAAAAATTAATTTACTTCATTAATACAATAATTATTTATATTAAATTCACTCAAGATGACAATCATATTATTTTGCATAAGGACTTGAATATAAGGACTTTGTCTTGGTTTACAGCAGTGGTTCTCAACCTTTTTGAGATATGACCCCAAACAATAAAAGCCCCTAAACTGTAACCTTTTTTTTGTTTACGTGTAAGTGATCTCACACCTCCTTGTCTCATCTGAATCCATGCTCCATGACTTTCATAAAGCCCAGCAGTCTCTCAAACAATGAGCATGCAGTCTATGGGGGGTGTCATTTTAAAGACATGCGTGCAGGAGCAAGCATGCAGCCAGCCTAAAAACAGCCTCCTAACAGCTCTAGACAACAGCCTTGTGAGACAAATTATCTCACTGGTACAGGCGCTGTAATGTAAAAAACCAACCCAGTTGAAAATATCAGATTTTTTTAATATAATTTTTCTTCTCCTACACAAGCTTCTGGCGAGCCCGAGGTTATGAATCACTGGTCTAAAGGTGCAGAAAATGTACAGAGAAAAACACAAGCGGAAGAAAGGATAAAGAATAAATAAAACAGAATTATTTAAATCAATAAAAACTAAAATAGGCAAAACATTCACTGTGCAGCGAAGACTAACTTTATTCTTTAGTTTTCCAGCAACATCTGTGAACACCAAGTTCGAAGATTGACAAATTTCACAAGGAATACTTGTTTACTACTGCTGTTGTCACCCATGAGCTGGTAGCCTTCAAGAACTATATTAAAGTCGATCTCTGACCGAAAGTTTTTTTCATACAAAATAAATACTATCATGATGGGATCAAAATTGGGTTTGTTTTTTTTCAACTTCATTTAATTATTGAACAAATTCTAACAAGTGACACATAAAAAATTTACAGTCTGAATCAAATTAACCCCAGAGCTAATCCTCAGCTCGTGTGCACATGATTTAGATGACAACAGTGGGCAGGAGAATGCATTTCTGGGTCATTTCTTGATTAGTCTGCAGTGACTCACTGATGAATGGCAACGTACTGCAGCTAATGGCAGCACATTCATCAATTATTCCTCGTAAATCAAATTGTTAACCACTGCTTGTGTGCATGAAAGTCTTCTTCTCTGTGCTGTGTTAGTAAAAAGTTGACCTGCTGCTGTTAACATTACTCCCTAAAAAGACAAAGTCAAAGTATGTAAACTACTAATGGTGATATTCATCCATACCACCATCAATAACCAATTGTTTGGTTTTGTAGCCTGCATTGAAAATAGTACAAGTCAAAATAAAATTGTATCCTCAATACTGCTTGTAATGACACATTTAAGAAATGTGGGTATTCCCTGCACTGTTATGTTGAAACAACATCTGAAACAGAATCAGTGATGTATTTAAAATAGACAGAAGTGTTAGGAAACCCCACAGCATAAAGCACCGGAGTTTGAGCTATACGGATGATGGGGACATGCTGAATGTTTTTCTGAGTGGATCCAAAATGTGATAAAACATGTGTTTCCTCAGTCAAAGCTACAATGTGCTCCTCCTGCAGCGCTGAGCTCTCGGTGAGTTGTGTCTTCAAATATCTTTAAGCTCGTATTTATATGACAAACTTTAAAGACTTTTCAGAGATGTTTCAATCTGAATGTGAATCAGGTGTAAACAGGTGTATGTCGGCACAGACTTAGATCCCTGGAAAGGATTTTTCAGAAACTCACCGTATGGTTGGCAGCAGACAGGAAACTGAACCAACCAGGCTGTCATGTGACTGAGATCCTCAATGCGCATGCGGGTAATTGTGAGGGCGGGGCTTCTTTAAAGGACGAGTTACGCTTTTTATCGTTATCATTTGACACAGGACAGTCTATGATTTTTTATTTGTGAACCAAACAAAAGCACAAAAACAAAGATTGAAAATTAATTGTTAACTTATTATCGTTTTATTATGTATATGTTTTTTAACATTTAAATTATAGATTTTTCAAAGGTTCTATATGTAACTTTTTACATGTATAAATCTTTTTATTGCCCTTTAATAAGCAAACAGTTCACTGATGTGAAAAAGTGGATGTTCACTGTCTATCTGTGTTGTCTGTATAAAATTTTCCCAGGGTCGTATTTTCCGCGAAAAAAATGCACGTTCTCAACGTCCTCCTCACTCCGCTCCGCTTACAGAGATCAACAGTACAAACTCATCACACACTCCCGGTCTTCACCTGCACAGCCAGAGGCCGTCTTCCACACACTTCTATCCGCTCTAGGAGCTCTCAAAGGCGGACAAACTCATCACACACTCCCGCTCTCAGCCAGTGCCTGCAGAGAGCGAGTAACAGGTTACAGGTGCAGTTCACCTAACGGCCATGCGGTAACACCACAAACACAGTATTTTTGAAAGTTACATATAGCCCCTTTAAGGTATTGTAATTTATTTTGTATTCATTTAAGCTCTCCTTTTACATTCAAATGCCCTCACATTTTCTTGTAGAATATGAAGTTATTTTTTATGAAGACATCCTTTAATATCACTTACACTGGATGGTAAGTGGGGGTTTCTAAACTTTTCTGCAGACAAGGTCAGTTATTTAATAAAGTCCCTATCTTATTTCTAAAATAACTGAACTGATAGGGTGTGATAGGCTGGAGGTTTGAGCTAATTTTAACCCAAATATTTTGATATTAAAATTATTGTATTAAAATAATACTGTAATCAAATATGCATTTATGATCTAAAATATCATATTGGATGGATTAATGTTGGGTCTCTGTAATAGAGAAATTAATAAGGTATTTTGCCTGCTCTTTTGTAACATTAAATAACAATGAGTTAGGTATTTTACCTGCTTTAGTAAAGTGTCCTGAGATAACATTTGTTTTTATCAAATAAAGAATGATTGATTGATATAGTGAAATATCTGACAACAATGTGTGCATAGACATGGGAGAAATACTTAATATACACTGTAGTTTTATGTTTTAACTTTCACTTTGTGGGCAAATTCAGGAGAATTTATGACTATGAATACTCTGTATTATCTTCTATTTTTCCAGATTTTCTTCTGTGTGCATCTTCCCCGCCAGATTATCCATGGTGAACTGATCTGCGTGATGTTATATAATAATAGAGCTCTTAAGATTGCGAGCATCTGAAGACTGACTGATTGCAGGTTTTCAATGCTGTTTTTCGATGTGGTTTAAATACTGTTTGTATCTTACAATATACTTCACATAGATCAGCTATGCTGCTCATACAATGGTAATCTATGCTTTAACAAACAGAAATATGTGACTAAGTAAAAACAGGACACACACAGAAGGAGTCTCATTCATAAATAATGGACCTTTGGGATATCCAGGTGCAATTAGGATTTCCAAAAATGTAGGGTGTAAACATTCTAGCGTTTGATTCCCTGCCATAACAGTAGCACCTCCTGTAATATTAATGTGTGCGCTGTAAAGTTATCTTTCTATTTCTGTCCTAATGTTCCTACAAAGCTATCCAAATGCAGCATCTCAAACTGCGACAGATGGAAGGAGGCAGTCAATTCAAGCAGATGTTTGAGGAGGCTAGGAGGAGTTTATTTTGGAAATGATGGAGTGAGTTTCGAAGATTAACTGTGCAGAAAGACTCATAATGAGAGGATTAAACCAAAGTTTTGTGGTTTGAAGTTAAACAAAAAGATTATGAGAAGCTGATTATTTTAGTAAATTGTTTTATCCCTGTAAAATTAGTTAAAAGATGTAGTGAGTTTTTTCTTGAATACACATTGAGTCACGTAAAATAAAATAAGGGGGGGGGGGGGGGGGGCAAGGAAAGTTTTGAGTATTCAGTATTCAAATCAAATGCAACACAGTAGAGTAGCTATATGTCACTATTGGTATTAAAGAGATTGGGGTTTTAAAGGTCATATGTGACTATGAAAAAATTAAATGTCCTCTGCAAATGGGTAGAGAGACAGACAGCATCCATACTGTGTATTATTCTAAAGGGCAGCCAATCGAGAGTCCCCTCCAGCACTCAGCTCACTCAGGTCCCCACTAACAAACCAACTGTGTGACTCTGCCACTGACTCTGTCCTTTTGAAGTGTCTTACACTAAAAAACTAAGTGCAATTGCAAAGTGAAATACATGTTCCCTTCAGACCCATTGCAGGTGGATGTTTTAGGTTTGGACTTGATCAAAAAGAAATTAAAAAGTTGAATCCATGATCAAATGATAGTCCATATACTAGCCAGTTGTAAGATGGGACATGGGGCAAACTTTAGCGAAAGAGGTTCGGCTTCATTTTTGTATAGTGGAAGTAGATGAAGACGTGCCTTTATATACAGTCAACGGTTTTAGCCATGCTAGCATTGTTGCTTTATTGGTGGCTCTTTGATCTGTTTTTAAGTTCCCTACTTTAAACTTTAAAATCTATAAAACAACTAGATAGTTGAAAAGTGCTACTTTCTGAAAATATAGATATATATTTTTGTGTGTCTTTATTGGAGAAAAGGGACATTGGAGAAAGTAGCCACAGGTGAATTTGGTACCCTGGCTGCCCACCTGACGACTAAGCCTCTGTACATGGGCCGCGCAGACTAACCACTCGTCAACCAGTACCTCTGAAAAGTGTTACTTATATGGTACACAGGATTAATAATACAGTCTTTGATGATCCTCTGACCCCCTCTCTCCTCAGCAAGTTAAAAAATATCTATTCAGTGAAATATCTATACATCTGCTTGATAAAGTGTTACACATCTAGAAGATGAGAGTTAAAGATATAGCCTATCATTAAGTGCAATCAAGTCAAATTTTAAATCTTGTCCATTACTGGTTTATGAACAAAAATATTTTTTTCTGTGTCGCACTCATCCACCCCTATGATGCTGTTAGTGTACAAATTGGAATATATGTATAAAGCCGTCATGGTGCTGTTTTCTAATCTTTGTTGTTATTCATGAATGCCTGTGTGTATGAATGACAGGATTAACCCTGTAACATGTCTCTAAATCTAACGGTACCTACGCAGTATAACGCAGTATAACGCAGTATAACAATTCTTCATGCACATTCACACAGTTTGTTTGATTTTCCTCTTTTATTTAATAGATGTTTTTTTTTACTCACTAAAAAACATTCAGGGCGTGAGAAACTATTCTTAGATATATATATATATATATATATATTTCATATAAATATACCATTTCACCAAACATTTGTAACATTCAAATTCAAATTTTGCTTATTGTCTTGAACATGTATTTTTATTGAATATTCTGTCTTTACATGAAACCAACTTGGTGCTCTTAAAGCACCACAAATAGAACTTAATGTTATCCTGATGTGTTACTCTCACACAAGGTAACTGTGGCCTCTCCTTCACCTGAGCTCATTGACAACTGCAGCGATTATCCTGCAGAGTTCAGCCCGGAGGTCAAAGATCTGCTGTCACCACTTCAATAAAGGTCTGAGCAGCACAGTGATGGATGCATGTTATCGCCATCATGATGATCGCAGCCTGCTGGTCATAACCTTGATGCATAGAAAACAAGGTCATACACGTACATACACATAATCATGCCATACAGATAGTGCAGTTAGACACACACACACAGGCACAACAGTCTTAGCCTTACATTCCTTTTCTTATTTGGTACAGAGTCATAAAACTACTAATTAAACAGGAACACATTTTTTGTCCATTGTTGACACAAAAGGTAGATGTGCAGATTTCCATCAGTGTAATATAAAAAAATGCAGCCATCCTTTTTCACACAGTACTTTTGCTGACACTCTTATCAGAACCAATTAACATTTAAAAGGGACGTTGCCACAAATTGCCATTTCATTAATTATGTCTGCTAGAAGCTTACATTACAAGCAATTTTCAGTAACCAAGTAGCTACAGGGGACAGCATAATAATGAGGACTGGAAATTATTTCTCAGAAGCCGAGGAAAGTGAAAAGATAATCTAATGCAGAGAATAATTGATGAGTTTTTGCCAGCCACGGGGATATGGCTCCAGGACAGGCAGTGATAATCGATCGCTGTTTGGTACGGACTTAAAAAATACCATAACTGTTAGATTGGATGGGCTTCAATAATATGTTGTACAGATGTCCAGTAATATGACTAAAGTGGAACCTCTGACTTCTCCTCCAGCACCAAATTGGCACTCATTTCTTTGAGTGAAAAGTCTGAACAATTGCTGGATGGATTGCTGCGATATATTGAAAACATATTTCCATCTATGTTCCACATGTATGTTGCCTTCAAGAAGAATTTTATTTCTGAGCTGTTTGCTTTGCTTTTAACCAGTCACATTTTTGGAGGCCACAAAGCCTTTGGTGCTTTGCAGACCTTGCAAAACAGTGGCAGAAGGGAATCTGTTTTGTTCAAACAGTTTCTGGTGGGCAGGTGAGCCCTGGCATTAAATTGGCCTAATCCCCAGCAAAGAAAAAGGCCACACAAAACATTAAAAGATAAATGGTAAGAGACACAAGGCTTGCCCAATTACACATTGCAAATTATCATCAAAACTTGACATTTTTAACATGTAGGTTGTGAGCGCTGACTTTGTTTTTTCAAAGTTTAAATGATAACACCATACACTGAACAAAAAGATGGACGACATTACAGCTTTCCCAAGTGAAGCCAAAATATTTGAATCTTCCTCGATAGCGGCTGGCTGCACAATGTTATCAGCTCCGCCTCTTCCATTTAAACAGATAGGACATGAGTTAACTATAAAACCAAAATATACAGTATGTCAATTGATTTTTTTCTGTCAGTAGTTAGTATACTGTACAAATGTATAACTGAGGGTTAACTGAATTGAGAATTATAGTTTGAATGAGTTATTTGAGGATATAAAAAGGGGTAAAATGCCACGATTGACAGCTCTGTTGACAAATGTCGCTCCTGAAGTGCTGTTAGCAACTGATTAGCAGAGTAGAGGAGGAATGGCTGGAGGAAACATAACGAACACTAACACAGGAGTCACTGGACATTACCTGTGAATGTCTGCTTCGAACCAACAAAGACTCTGTGAGTCAGACTACCTGCAGGGTAAAATATAACTGACCCTTTATTTGACATAATGTGCTACATCTAATTTGTTTATGATTGAATACATGTAAAACTTAATACAGTCTTTTACGCCTCAAAAGTTACCAACATGTGAACATCACTTTATAAATATAAACATGCAAACCTTTTCAATTGGCACATAATGGCATATGTTGGGCCTCAGCCATGTGTGCTGGACAAAGGACTCAGGGTTGTATCGCAGTTCTCAAGCCTGACTAGAGTTATTTTGGAGGGAACTATACAAAGGAGTGTGGTCTGCTGACACCAGAGGATAACCTCTCCAACAAGATGGACTCCAGCATTCCAGACAAACCCTTTCCTCCTCTTGGCTTACATAGGTTAAACTCCAGAGCGGAGGTTGTTCAGTCTAGGTAGCGCTTCACATGCTGAATTCAAGCATCAGAGGATTCAGCTGACTACTTCCACAGCATATTTTTAGGAATTTTGGGCGCAATCAGATGCTATCAGGTTCGAGCAAAAAGAAGAGTTTCTTTCCTTTGTTTTTTCGTAAGACGTCATTGAACGCAACTGGACAGGAGCGCTGAAGGAAGCCCACTAATCCCTGAATCCACAAGGACACATAAAGAACTCGACTCCTGCAACCATTAGACCCTATAGAGCAGCGCTCTGGTCGAAGATCTGAATCCAGCTACCCTCCTCCTACATCTGCCACAAAGGAAACCTGCCTGAATCTGTTGATTTAATATTCAACAGAGTGACGATCTAACCAACTTTGTAATGATCACCAGGAGTTACCCCAAGTAAGAGCGTTGGTCTGGGCAGAAATATGCATCTTTGTTGATGAGACGTCACATTCTGTTTATTATCTGTTGTAAGCTGCTGCATTTGTTTTACTGTGATGAACCGCTGTGTTCGCCTATGTGTGTAATGCTATGCTAGTTTACCTTCAGTCAACGGCTTTCACAAACAGAAAGACCATTGTACCCGCCATTGAATCAAAGTCCGGCCACTGGCTTTCTGGTGTTGAAGTAACAGAACTCAGCTCAGAGAGCTCAAACTAGTCTCTCTCCACCATCTTGTTTTCTCTCTCTCTCTCTCTCTCTCTCTCTTTCTCATCCACACACACACACACACACACACACACACACACACACACACACACACACACACACACACACACACACACACACTAACACACACAACTATTGATGTTGCTTTGTTTAAATAAATTCTGTTATAATTTAAGAGAGCATTGATTTGTGATTACTGGTGTATTTGCATTGTGATATAAGCTGGGTGCGAGGGGTTGTGTACGGATTTCACGCCTTCAATTTATTAAATAGTTATTAATTATTAGTAATATTAGTAATTAAGTAACTAATTTGAGACTGATTTTTGTGATATTTTCATTATATTTCCCTGATTTCAGGGTGGTGCCCCCGAGTTGATTAAACATAGTTTAATGATATTTTTATTTATATTATTAATAATTCAATATAATTATTAAAGAATATAACCAAAGTTGACTTGATAAAACCCCAACACAAAACATTAGCGTTTTACTCAGATTAGGGTTATACTTCCTTACCTCAGCTCTAGTGTGGCTGTAAACTCCTTTTGTGAAGGAGGTTTTGTCATTATTTCCCTTTTGAAGGTAGAAAAGCCTGAAGGGGTTTTCAACTGACAGATAAATTAAGTTTTCCCTTACAAATCTTTGGGCTGGTTCAATGTGAGAGCAGCTTTTGGATTCAAGAAGAGGTTTGGGTGATTTTCGAGGATTTTACTCGGGCATTTAGTGGATTTAGTCATTTGGCCAGCAGGTTGGAATATAATCCCTTGGGCTAAACACAAGTAGAGTATCACAGTTTGAGGTTTTCCCTTGAGGACACTCATGCAGCATGAGATGAAAAAAGCCTATTACATAACTAAGGAGCAGATATGAAGCTGCTGTGTGTTTCTGAATGGTCTGTTTTTAATAAATAACTTCTTATTAATGCTGTGAAGCTATTCAGACTGATGAGTGTCTGAATTTAGCATGGCTCATATGCTGCTTTTAAGCAGACTCCTCCAGACAGAACCTCATATACAGTCCCCCTTTTGTGGATTTACAGTAAATCATTATTCACTCGTACATTAATATGTGAGCACGTGCACACTCACAGGCAGTGTGCCATAACTCCTTTAAGCTTGAAGTCAATAAACAATAAACAGTGATATTCAGCATAGCTCAGCCATGAATCTGTGCTCAATGAAAGGTGCACATTTATATCACTCATATGATTCAGGCCATGTGGAGGTCAGTGGAGAGACAGAGAAGACAGCAGAGGAAGGATGAGAATCATGTCATATAGCCTTCTTTAAAAAAAAAAGAAAATATCATGATGCTGAGACGCTAAAATACACAACTCAAGGGCATAAAATCAATCTGGTGACATAAAAAAATAATGTTATCTTTGTTTCTTTATGTAGACCTGTTAGTGTGAGCCCTGTTATCATAGAAATAGTGATAACAACTGTTTTTCTCTTATCTGTAGCACCGATAAGCCGCTCCACACAATTATGAATGAGGGACTCTCCAGATTCATGTTTATGTGGGTCAATACTGCCCCCTGGTGGTGTTTTTAAGTACAAACGAAGACAGTAAGTAAGAATACTTTGATCTCTAATTTAAAATACAAGTATATTATTGGTATACCACGTCCAAATAATAAAACAAGCACATATATTCAAACAAAAAATGTGTAACAACTTGATCATTGAACAACTAATAACATATTCTGACATCTTCCCTTTCACATTTTACATGTTTTACTATTAACAATCATCAAATCAAATATTTATGCATAACTTTCACAGTAAATATTTCATATCAGAGTCATGGATGACCTTAAAAGGGATAATATTGCAACTAACAGCCAGCACCAAAACTGCAACATTCAGCAACAACAGGTGAGCTTCACAGAACAAATTACCAGCGGCCACGGCTGTCACTGGTAATGAGGGATTCAGAATTTGTGGAAAAGCTCCATGATAGCGATGGTTGTGCTTTGGCCAAAGATGAAGGCTCCAACTACAATTGTTATGACTCCCCATACTGTAAAAACCACCCTGCAGTGAAGAAGAAAACCAGGACTTTAGAGACATCAAGTCAGACAGCAGTCAGTTATGTACAGGGTTCAAATTACCTAGATATTTACTTTTATTTATTTCACATTTTTGCTTGTTTGGCTGCCCTGCTACTAAGAGACCGAAACAATCTATAGAGCACACTTTCAGTTCAAGTTAAAGCTACAGTGAGGAACTACCATTTTGTGTTGATTTTTTCGCCCCCTCAGGACAAAGTGGTACATCTTTTCTCCTTGCTGATCTCCTCCTGTACATTCTTAGTAGTGTTTCTGCTGATACATGTCGTCCATTTTTTTTAACAGTCAAACATATCAGTCATTTTAAATCTATTCTGTGCATGTTTTGGCAGGTTTCTGTTAATCACTGCTTGGCACTTACTACATTGTTAGTATCCTTGCTGATGGTCTTGTTTGCTTTTATAGGTCAAATTAGTATTTTTTTCAGTGTGTTTCATAACCAGATAAAGTTTCTACTCACCTGACTCTTGCAGTCACAGGTTCACTCTGCATAATGCACACTAAGCAAAGACCTACAATAAAAAACATACACCACATTGAGTCACATGCATGGCTATCAATCAGACTTTAATGTATGTCACCATTGAAACAGGTTAGGTGAATTTAAAGTGATTTTCAACCAGGAAAATGATCTAAAAATGTCCATACATAACTCATTATGTTGTTAAAAACACAGATGCATAATCACATAATGAAGATGTTTACATACCAGGAAAAATAAAGATGAAGAAGGCACTGATTCCTCCAATGACACTGATGACCTCACCCATGTCGGGCACAAACATTGCAATGACAAGAGTGATGGAGATCCAGATCACAGTGAGAATAACTCTGCAGCGACTCTCAAACAAATGAGTGACGATTCCCCGACGACGTCTTTGAATTCGCAGCACCAAGTTCAGGATCACAGACCTGTTTCACAAAGAGAGAGAGAGACACACAACATGAAACACACAAAGTCACACCACACAACATAAATCAACTCCAGCGCCACTTACCGCCCTAGAAGAAGAATAATTGGATAAATTGTAATAATTGATATTCCAAAAAGTAGCCTGGAAATGATCATGACCACGTCATTTCCTGGATATGACATGAGAATATCGGAGGCAACATCTCTTCCAAACGTCATGAAGCCGTACACGCCTGGAGATGAGAGAGTGTATGTGATCAGCAGCTTTCAGGTAAGCACACAAGTGCTAAGAGGTTTACATTGTCGAGGTGAACTCACCTGTGAGAGTGTAGATCAGTAAACAGAAAAACATGGAGAGCACAGAGATGAGCACCCAGTGGGAGAGCTTCTGGTTCTCCATGCTACTGTAGATTGCTATACAAGCTTCATGGCACTGCAAACACACACAGGCACCGCATTTGATAAATCAGTTTGGGACACTAGAGGGAGTTACTTTTTTTGTTTTCCGTAAGGAATTTCCTTCTTTGTTGTCCAGAGCCCTTAGAGAACTGTGACTTCTTTTAAATCATGTTCTTTCAACCTATTCTAATTTACTTTATTCTTTTGCAATGTTGTCTTTTTTTGGGTTCCAATTTATTTGTAAATTATAAATTTTACATGTTTTCAAAATGTTTTTATTTTCTAACGCAAGCTTATTTCTTCTCTTTTCTGTGTTTTGGTGCATTTAAACTTTCTGTATCTAAACATTTTTTTGCCCTCAGTCTTTGGGTTTTTGTTATTGTACAATATTACCTCTACTTTTTTAAAGCCCACAGTAAAAGCTGTTTTTAAGGTATATAAAGTGTTTTTCTTTAGTCTATTGTTCCCTTTAATAGCAAATGTAGCAGTGTTTCCCAAAATAAAAGCATGTGTATTCATCAACATAACTATGTTATCCAAGCCATCTTTACATAAAGCTTAAGAATACATCTCCCTATTTGTGAGCAACTAGTTGTTAACCTCAACCACTTATTGATTTAATCACTTTCTGTGCAGATAAAAAAAAATCTGTTGTCCCTAAAACTCCAGTATCAAGTATTCACAAATAGTGCCCTCAAGTGGTGTCAACTGTGTTCACAGGATCCGATCAGAACACCCACTCTTTAAAAGACTGAATACCTGGAAGCCGAAGCAGATGGTCGGCACAACACTGAACATCGAAGCCCACGAACCGACACTGAAAACACATAACATGCACACACATTACCTCATACATTTAAAAGATCAACTATATGAAATATGGAGCCAATGGTAAATACACACAAGCATTCATTAGAAGCAGTGTTACTGACCCTTGGCTGTGCTCAGGAGTTATTATAACAGAATGACTCTCCATCAGGTAGTATTTGACGATCACTGCCACACACAGATACGTAGCAGCCAGCGTCCCCAACACACTAACAGACAGAGAAAACAATTAAACTACACACAAGCTTGAAATGATTCTGACCAATGATATGTGTTGTGTACCTTGTGTATTTCTGGATGCCAATTTCTTTTGGGATTGACAGGGGGAGGATGATGACGAGGCACATGATGAAGAGAGCAAATCGCTGGTCGGTGTACCAGTGATACGGCATGTCTACCTCACTGGACCCAGTCACAGTCTCATATAAAGAAATACACACTGAGGAGAACAAGCCAGAGTCAGAATGAATCTTTTTTTATCTGCTCCAGCATGCAGACGTAAGTATTCAATGCCAAAAAATCCTGATTTACAACTGATACATTTACATTTAGCGTCCTGCTTAACAATATAGTTTATGGTTTTTTAATGTTGCCAGATGAAAAAAAAAAGAATAATCAGAGCAGTGCAGTTGTGTTTATGTATTTAAAGCCATACATACTTAAATATACCCCCCTTATTACTCAGTCTCCACATCTCTCCAAGCAGAGTTTTTTAAACAAATAGGTTTTTAGTGGAGGGAGGTTTTTGTAAATCCAATTGAATGTTCTGTTAACGATTGGACCAGAGCAAAAAACATTTAAGAGATTTGAAGTGTTCCAGATAACAACATGACAAAGTAACAAATGAAAAAATGACATTGCAGTAGTGTTGACAGTCACATGTCTACCTTGATACTGAAAATGAAAGTGCGGATGATTTGAGGTTTGAGGGAGATTAATTTTTATATGGCTGCTAAATTGATCCCTAACTCAGACAGTGCCTACTGTAGATAACATTATATTTAACAGAGAAGTACTCCATGATGATTTACAGCTGGGATAAAACATCCAAAACAATAATGATGACAACTAAGGCAGGAAGCATGAAGACTACTTCTGGTCATTATCGTGTCCAGTCTATGTAGATCTAATGTGCTAGAATAGATTCACAAATATATTTTGTATTAATGCCACGTCATTTGCCTTAAAGGTTGGTTAGTACCCTCATGGACCAAAGTTTAGAGATATTGGTGCTAGTTAAGATAGAAATATCTGATGTTTTGTTACAAAGAAATTGACTTCAAGCTGGTGATCAACTCATACAAATAATGATGATTTTCAAAAAGCATCCTGACCAGGGATTTCTGTAGGGTTTACCTAGTGTAATTTTAGACTTCGCTCAACACTTTGTACTCACACACTACACATTATAATCAGACATAAACATATTACACATCTATGTTTTTTTAATACATTCAAGAATGATTTCTTGGGATTCTTGAAAACATTTCCGCTGTAGACTAATACTAGCAGACACAGCTGCTGTTAAACTTTAAATATAACAAAATGATGCAAATACTTTTGTTTCAAAAATAATGAATTAGCTATTATCTGCTTTGTTTAGAATCTATACGCTGGTGAGCCCTTGGAAAAAGGCAAGAATTGTCTGTAGTAAGGTTCAAACAACATGCGCCTGTCATAGAGATGTGAAGTAGAGAATCTAATCGGCATAGGAGGATACACAAATTTTATTTCTCAGTTATCATGGTCAAACATATCCCATATCCCATAATATCCCATTTACCATCAAAATATGTTTCATAATCCTGATAAATACTGGAAACAAATAGTTCCATTAGATAGGACACAATTTTGAATAACAAAAAATATAATCATAAATTGTTTGTTCCCCAGGGAACGTATGAATTATGAGCTGTAAAAAATGTTTGAACCTACATCATGAAAATAACTGAATTCAGTACTTACATTTCTCCAGCTGGTCCTGCACCACCACCAAGAAAGCCACACATATCATGAAGAGGTTGAAGCAGAAACAGACTTCACAGAGTTGGCCCACAGCTCGTCCACACACCTCACTAACAACATCCTGATACGTCTTTTGTCTGCTGACTGACGAGGCATAGCCCAGGATCACCAAACCACTGATGAGGAAAACCAGAGAAACCTACAGGGACAACAACAGAGAAACACAAACTGTATTTTACTGACACACAGCTGGCAAATAATTAAACAATGGGGCCAGGAACATGGCCCTATACTCCTGGATGAAGGCCCCCCCCAGCATCCTAATAAAATAGGATTATTATGCTACTTTCAAAGTAACTCCTCTCTCTAAATTTTTTTACATAGACTGCCAGCTGCCATATATATCATATTTACATACTGTATAATGTGGATGTTTTATAGGTGTATAAACAACAGTTATTGGATTGGTCTCAATACCAGCATATAGAAAAGGACTTAGGGCTATGGGCCTATTCTTGGAAAGTGGTATGGAAGAGACACACACACACACACACACACACACACACACACACACACACACACACACACACACACACACACTGTTCAGGTCCTCACCTAAACAGTAAGCTTCATTAGAGCTCAACTGTGAAAAGAGTGAGCCTCTTTCACACCAGGAAGAGACAGCAGGGTGGAGAGTCTATACTCATTCAGGCAAACAGCCAAAACCTCTGATTGGCAACACGAGTTAAGATAAAGACCAATATCCAATAATTACTCATTTAAAAAAATCTTCAGTCAATGTAGGCTACCTCATTATTCTTTCACAGCACTTACAAAGTCTTTATGCAGGCACACAATAAACAGCTTATCTAAACAACTTGCATAGACAACAGCATTAGTGTGCACCAGCTTGGTGTTTAAGGTGTCTGACGGTGTCCTCTCACCAGCTCCACACTGATGGCGGTGTTCACTCCTCCCGCTTTCTCGAAGGCCCAGGGGAAGTTGAGCAGTCCGGCTCCCAGCGCGGACTTCAGCATGATGAACACCGCACCTAAGGAGCCGAGCCGAGGCGGGTCCGCGTGAGACGCAGAGCGAGCCAGTAGGCTGATGCTCTCCCGGGCCAGTTCCTCCATTGTTCCAAAACAGATAAGAAGCTTTGACTGTGGGTTTTTATTTTCTAAAATATCTTCAACACGACTAATGTATTCGTAGAAGTCCAGTGGTGTGTGCCAATCTTCAGTTTCTTATGGGAAAACCTGATGAGTTGAACAGCAACATATATAGCCTATGTCCACGCGCGCACACTACTCACGAGGTCTAATTTGACATTTTAAACACTTCACTCCATGGTGACACATTTTTCACTAAAGTGAGTATGTTTGTTCTCTGTCTCTCTCTCTCTTTCTCTCTCTCTCTATCTAAAATATGCTGCTGCCCCTTGTAAGGCCCAGTGTTTAGGGTGAACTAGGATGCAATTTGGCCCCATGTTACATACCAAGAGTAATTTAACAAGTTGGTACAACAATGGAATAAAAAAACACTTTCTTAAACCAAGCCTTTAACACACTTCTTCACACCCAAGAAAAAGCAGTAGCCTGGCGAAAGGTTGTAATAACTGCACAGTCCACTTATTTATTTTAGCTTCCTCTCGCAGTTATTCGTGATTCCTACAACGGAGGATTAGGGACACGTTAAAAAAAAAAAATCGAGATTAAAGTCGTAAATTTACGACTGTAATCTCGTAAATGTTTGAGTTCGAAACCAGCCTGCACGAAAATGATGAAAGTAGAACTCTTAAAGTCTTTAAAGAATAAAGTGGTTATTTTAGTCTATGTCAGAAGAGCAGCAGGTTCATGTTCTCAAATGACAAACATGGAGCATCTTGTCCTAAAGGTTTCACTAATAAGGAAATAGACTGCTTCCTTGTTTAGTCGGTAAAAACTTAGTTCAAGAGAAGTTTTCACTTCAACTTGTAAGACCTTGTTTATCTGTAAAATGATGAACAGGACACAAACTGGCTCTGCACATGAGACACTTTAACAAGGCAGACCGATAACAGACACAAATAGTTGTGTTGGGGCTTTCCTTATGCAGATATGAAACTACACATGCTTTTGGCACATCATCATCTTCACATTGTCATAAAATATCAGCACCCTGAAAAGATACTGCAAGAACTGTGGCGTTTCCGAAGGAAGAACCACACTGACTTGGAGGAAGTTGACTTTAAGAGTTCTACTTTTATCATTTTGCACAGGCTGGTCTCGAACGTTAATTTAAGACTTTAATCTCGTAAATTTACGACTTTATTCTCGTTAATTTACAACTTTATTCTCAAAATAAAAAAATAATAAAGAAAATTAACGTGGCCCTAATCCTGCATTGTAGATTCCTGCTCACAGCCGTAAGGGAAACAAATGATAAACTGATAGTGTCAGGGGATTTTTTGTTTTGTTTTAATCACATATTTAAAACGTTTGTTGGTTAAATAATAACTAAAGCTGACCCCGAAGCATGGCCCCTTGAGTTTTGAGGCCCCAGTAGACCACTCTGTCAGGTTGATATTTCAGCTTTGACGTAGAGCAGTGGCCTTTTACTTGCTCACATGTTTATTGTTGTCAAAGAAATAATGTATATTATTTGACCAGTAAAGCTTTTGTATTTGAATATCTTAAAGATACACAGATCCTCCCCCATCCTTAACGGGTCATCTATTGGAACATGTTGAGGCAAGCAGAGAAGAGGAAAAAATAAAAACTTAGAATAAAACCGCAGAGACATTATTTATCTGTAAATCTGTTTTAACAAGCCATTAAACCTCAATAATATTTGTATCACTATAATGGAGAATCAATAGACTAACCGCTTGGATTAACTAGAAAGATTTGATTAAAACATGATTTGCTTTTTGTTTCAGTTTTATGTATTATATTTCATGTTTATACAGAATAATACAGACCTGGTGTGCATGTACACAGGGTCACAACATTTGTTAATGTGGTAAAATAAAGTCCAGGCCATATGGATTGGAGAGTACAATCCACTTCACATGGAGGTCATAATCCCAGTCGTGTTTTATTCTACACACCATCTGCTCCAGAGCGTGAGTCAAAATCCCACAATTGTTGTTCAGCATGTTGACTTTCAGCTGGCTGCATGAGTGTTTCTTTTAAGGAAAAAAAAAACCTTTGTTGTATCTTGGACAGTTCAACAGCTGGCAGAATGTCAGGGCTTTGGTCGTCTTACAAAGATTTCAACTGATGCTGCAGCTTTTCTCGGATGAAATGCAGGACAAAGAGAGATTAGATGGAGCAGGCGTACCAAGGTGTTCTGGGGACATTTTGGAAGAAAGTTTGTTTATGCTTCACTGCTGACATGCTTTGCAGTCTTCATAAATATCTCAGGAGTCTACTTAATGAAGAAAAAGGCCCATTTCATATCAAGTTACGCATCTAAAGCTGTAGAACGAATGTTAAGGGGATTGTGATGATCAAAAAGAAGACATTGCCTTTATAGGTAATCTTTTACATGAACAGCAAAATTTAAAATCAATATGAAGGCCAAGAATCTGTCTTAAAACATGTTCTCTTGGCACAGAAAAAAGTTTTTTTAAATGTAATTATGGACTAAATAAGGTTGCAAACTGGAGTCAGAAGTCAAAGCTTGAAGCTTGAAGAGTATGACACTGCAATATTAAAATGAGCCATTAAAGCAGTGAACTCTGTGCATTGTGCTGACTTGTCATCTAATCAGTGTCACATAATATAATATAAAGAATATAAAGCAGGACTTTAGTATCACTGACTGCAGTCACTTTTCAAAGTCATCCTGCTGCAGCAGTAATGAAGTTGTGACCTCTGACCTTTAGTTTCCACACCTGCTCACATCATATTGAAGTCGTCGACAATATCGCTGACATGGCAGCATGCATCACCAAATTCCCAGTTTAAGTATTTCTCCTCCGTTTGAGGGCACTGAGAATGTTTTCAAAGGTTCCCGAGGTGCAACCTGCCTCGCTGTGATGAATAAATAGAGATGAGGTTACTCGTGATTCTGCTGTTATGAAACATTTTAAGAGTATTAAGATTACCCACACACAATCATACACACTCACACTCACACAGACACAGACACACACACACACACACACACACACACACACACACACACACACACACAAACACTCACATAAACACACACACTCACATACGCCCAACTAGCACAAAAGTACACAAAATTAAAGGAAATAATGAATTGCAGTTTTAGGGGGAAAATATGCATCGTGAATGTCAGCATAGATCTATTTATTTGGGTTAAAAATCAGAGTGGAGCAAACAGCCATGTATCACTCTACAATGCTTTGAAAAATACAACAATGAAATAACCAAACCCTGAATATAATACAATAAGTAAATCAATAAAGTGAGAGCTAGTGAATACAATCAGTGTGTGATTGTATAACAGAGCTCTCTCAGTATCAAAGAAAAGCAACAGAACATGAACGAATATTACAACAACTCTAAATGTCATAAGGATGAGACTTCAGAAACTCTTGCAAAAACCTGTCATCACCTGCACTTATATGCTTTGCATGCACTTGGTCTTTACACTAGAGTAAATTGTTGATGCATTTTTGAATAGTGGGCTCTGATATGTGTCCCCTTAAAGTGCCTCCAAATTAAATAGAGTCACTAAATGCATTGAACTGAAACTTTGCTGTGAGCAGCAATAAATAAATAGAAAAACATGTAACCACACTGGGTGGTGGAAGGGGTCACATATGACAGGGTTGTCAATACCTCCACACACAAATCTCATTTCTGATGTTCAACAGGTCATAGCAGGTGATGAGAACTGTTTTGCACCCTGTAAAACACTTTAATCTGGATCACCCCGCTGATTGGATCACAAACAAATCTGAACACCTGGCGTTAGAAATACTCCAAAAATCCCTTTTGTCCTAAAAACTCGTGACCAATCAAACGAATGGTAACATTTAGTAAAGAGTTGACAACAAAAACAGCTTCAGAATGATTAGTCTTTCATTAACTGATCTCACGGAGAAGGAGGGTCTTTTTTTTTTTGCATGTGATAATCTGTACAAATTAATACTTTTTAATGCCCATGCACCATCTCGCCCGTGTAGAAAACATTGGGCTGTATGTTTAATTTTGCACTGAAATCCTTATAAAAGGATCAACATGTACTTTTGCTGATCATGGCTTGTGAAGCATGTATTACCCTTGTGTGTTTGAAGTGTAGGTGCAGGATGTCTTTGAAGACCATGCTTTCATTACTCTGATTAAAAGATCTGCTGATACTAGCTCCTGAGCAGGAGCAGCAGGGTGATGCATACAGGGAACAACATTGAGGCCAGGATGGGACTGTGTTTGTGTGTCTGTCCCTTCAGTGTCTCCTGGTTGGTCTGGTCTGAGGTGGGGGGGCTCTGGGGTGCAGGCACAGTGCTGGGTGGGAGTGTTGTGAGGCTGGCACACATGTCGTAGAGGTTTCCGGAAAACTGCGTCTTTCTGGATTCTTGTCTTAGAGACTCCCAGACAGCTGCTGCTTCTCCAGGACAGCCGACAAGCGCAGAGTTGGCACAAACATGGAACGCATTCCAGGACCTTCAAGAAACGTGGACACAAGGAGAGCTCAGTGTTATGTGTAGAAACGAAATGACAGCAGTTTTTATTAAACCTGGAAATATGTATCGAGCAAATCTTTAAAAAATACTAATAAAAACATTTTTAACGTATCGGTATATGCCCAATACAAGTTGGCAGATGGTTGTTCAACATGAGTCTAGTTTTGCTCAAAGGTTTCTGCCTCTTAAAGGAAGTTTTTCCTTGTCACTGTAACTTTGCTAAATGTTGCTTTGTGCTCATGATGGATTCATGTTGGGTCTTTGCAGATAATAAAGCAATGAGTAAGTTATTTTTGATCTAATGAAGAGAAAACTTCTTTTTTTTCTCAGAAAAGTTACATTTCCAAACCAGGTACTTTCACTGGGAACTAAGGACTTTTTTGAGGAAAGTGTTCACCAAGACTTAAATTTAGGGACTCTGAGGGATTTTCCAGTCCAGGGACTTTCATTAACCACCCAAAAAAGTTTAGGTTCCCTAAAAGTACAGAGACTTTGAGAGTGGATCTTATAGCGCTTACATTATTGATTGATTGAGTACTAGAGCATTTAGAGGACTAACAAAGCTGCAAAAATAGTAAAACAAAGTACTAAAACTTACAACACAATGAGGAAGGGGCTGGCTGTCAGTTTCTTTGTTGCTGTATAAACCAGTAAGTTCAGTTTTAGGGGGAGAGTGCAAAGGATGAAGTAAAGAAGTGTTCTTAGTGTCAAATCAAAAATGAAACAAAAAAATGTCTCAAGTATATGTACTCTTAAAAAACAAATGTTTAATGTCAATGTGTCTTTCAATCTATGTAAAAACACAAATACCAGTGGGCTGGAGAAAACGTTCTTGAAAATAAGTTCCTGGGACCTAAAACCCACTGTGCTTATGGTTAGAAACTCAGCTCAGTTAACCCTCCTAAAAGTCGTTTGTTGTTATTTTGTTTCATTTTCAGTTATTTAACCCGTTACATTTCTGCAGTGATGTACAAATGTTCTGCATGACCCTGTGTCTGGGAAGTTTAATGATGTTGCACCTGCAAACCTAATGCACCTTCCAGGCAATGCCAAACAGAAATAGAGTAGAGAGAGGCCAGGGAAACTGTACTTTCTATTTGCTTTGTTAAACTACAATTGCAATTTCCAGGGTTTTTTTTGTTCAGCTGCATAATGTAGCTTTGAAGCTGATGAGACCAAGAAGTCCAAACCAAAGCAATATGGTTGAGATTAACAATGAGTTCCAAGACTCACTATCGATCCCCACATCTGAATGCTGATTATTGGACTGTATCAAAGATCCATTCAATATTTATTCACTGAAGCCGTTTTCCTCTGATGTCTTCCTAGCATGGAGGCTCAAAGGCTGATATTGACCTGCTGAATTTCAGGTTAGTTGAAGAGTATTAAGGCACTTAGAAAGATTAGATTTCACTATTTCTCAATTGATGAGCAACTTAAAAGACAATAAATATTGAAAATTGAGAGGAACATTGTGCACATCAAGAGCATTCAACCACCTCCTAGCTAACATAAAATTATTATTAAGTTAAGAGTAAAGTTCTAGCTGACACTACGTTATCTAGTCATTTACATATTTTAATGTATCGTGTAACATTACCAAACAGTGTCAGGTTGTAGCATATCAAGGTGTTGCTGGTTTGTTTCACCATGATGGGCAGACACACACACACACCTGCAAATGGCATCAATGTCCTGCGTACTCTGGTCTTTTTGAGTTTCCACCAAGCTGTCTCCAAGTGAGAGTAAACACTGAGCAAAACTCTTGTAGATGGCTCCACATGAAACCGGAATCACAGCTCCAAAACACACAGGGACCAAGCCTAGAGGGGAGTAAAAGTGTACATTTGATAATTTGATCAAAAACTCTTAGAAAATGTTTTGTGAATATTTGGACATTGTGTATGTATATTCATCGTTTGTTTGTCTTTATGAAGACAGAAAACAACCCTTCGGGTAAGGGCTTGAAATAAAATCAGTAGATTCTTTGGGTTCCAGTGTTTTATCTTGTGAATTGAAGCACAGTGTTTGTTTATTTATAGAGGCATGATCCATCTGGTGCTTTGATGGATCAAACAAATACAAAAATATGTTGTATCCCATTCATCTGGAGGGATTATACATCTTGTGCGCCAAATTCGGAGAAGACTACAAAACCATGTGTTAGCTATTTGAGTCCATTGATCAGCTCAACTATAACGCATCTCTCTGATGTTGATTTTTCCCCAAAAAAATTGTATAACTGGAACAGCGGACTTCTTACAAAACATTAAAGCCACGAGGGATTTTCACAACACCTTACTTTAAAACTATGGCTGTTAATCTGCCCCTGTATCAGCCCTTCTCTGGTCTGAACAGTTTTTGGATCCTGGCTGCAGGAATTTGCTCCAAACGCAGCAACAAGTGAATCAGTAAATTTGACTGCTAATATTCTAAAGTCTTGCTTATTATCCTGAAGGTGCATGACTACTTTGAGGTAAGGTCATGCTCTCTTTACCCTCTACACTTTGTAGTCACAAGGTTAGAGGCACACTGTTTCAAATACATCACCTACTGCTTTGTCGCATGAGTTTAATGCTACTCAGGGTATCCAACAAGTCCAAAACAAAACAAACAACACTAGGCATAAAGGACACAGAGGTGTCCACATATTATAGACACACAGTTTATGAAACCAGATGCCAGCCGCACTATATATGCTTATCTTAAGAGTCCATTTCACATTTTAAATGATCTTCTGATTAAATAAATATGCTTTACTGATAGTGTTTAAAATGCCCTCTTTCATAATACACTCACGTTTCATTGGCTAGTTTATTTGACCTACTGAAGTTTTTCTCCACTGTTAGAGAGGCTGATAATATTCTTCTAGTATCTTCTAATATTTTCCTCTCTCCAGAGGTTATTAACTAAGATTCAGAAGACATTGTTAATAATGTTTTCTTGATATTTTATAATTCTAAATTTGCTTGCTTGTGTTTGTAACCTGACCATTCTTTTATTGTTTATCCTAGAAGAATATCTTGCACAATGTGACTATCTTCTAAATATTTTGTGACTCTCATTTCATGTAAGTAACTGTCAGATTCATTCATTTTCATGAGAATTCATGAGTCATGTTGTATTCTAGGGCAAAGTAATGTTACTGTAAAAAAAAAAAAAAACTCGAAATGCCCTCAGAAAAGATTAGAAAGCAGAAGTCACACTAAACTGAATGATGTTGCACACACACACAAACACACACACACACACACACACACACACACACACACACACACACACACTGAAAAACAGTCAACAATTAAGGGGACAGTGAATGTTAATGTCTAACTCTTCTTTACACAGTTTCAGATGACGTTACATAGAAAATCATTTATCAGTCATTTTAACAGCTTTTTTCTGGAAACTTAAAGAAATTCCTCTGACAAACCAATTGAGTCAAGTTTGGAGAAAAGACAGACACAGCAAACTAATTTTTAGGAAGAAATGCACACAGTCATCACACATTTGAACAAAATCAGACATGAGTTAAAGAAACATCCTTACTGAGGCAGAGAGTGACTGGCAGCAGCATTGTCGCCATGCCTGGTTCAGACTTTGAGGATTGTTCCACGAGTCCCGTGGAGTTGAGTCCCCCCTCTGAACCAGAGGCTCTGATGTTCGATAATGATGATGACGCTTCCACTGAGTGTAAATCCAAAAAGGAAAAAGTTGGAGCTTTAAAATGTAATGTCTCCTGACTTCTGTTAGGGATTCATCAGATTTTAAAAGTACAGCAATGCACGGACGCACAACTCTGCTGGATTAACAGTGAAAGGGGCCGATGAATGGCAGGGAGTAAGAGGATGTGTGTTTGTGTGTGTGTGCTCAAGTGCACAAGGGAGGGGCACAAGGCGAGAGCGATGGAGGGCTTGGAAGCAACAGACCAATGACGGCATCACAACACAGCACTCTGGATTAAAGCTTTCTCATTTCCGGTCTTTAGTATTTAGAACATATATGTGAATTACAAATAATTATATATACAGTATAAGGGTCAACACACCGCCAATGCCTGGTTCGTGCAAATTCACCTTCTGCAAAAACTGTGTTTTACTAATGACGAAGAAGTTTATTACAAATACTAGTAACAGGGGAACATAATCAGAAGTGTCAGGAGGATTTAGGTTTTGTTTTGTCATGTGGACAGATGGATGCCATCCCTGAGAGGATAAAAGAATCCAGCTCACCTGGGAGTCCAAAACAGAGAGAGAGAGAGAGAGAGAGAGAGACGTCCTCTGAGAATAGCAGCAGCCCATGTGAGAATCACCCACAGCTATGTGGGTCACCACGGTTTATTGAAGAGCAGCATGTGCAGTGTTGACTGAAGCTTGGACCAAAAACAAATGCAGACCCTGAAAACCATTCCATTTAATTAAAACTTTCCTCACATTGAGTATTTGTGTTTTCATCTTTTACTTATTTCTCTCAAACTCAAATTCTCTGCTGTGCCCCCCAGATGTGCATTAGTATAAGTCCTGGTTCACATCTGTATAGTGACACAGGAGAAATGCTAACCCATTGTTAATCTCCAGCTTAAAACAACCATTAACTGCAGAATAATCTGTCTGTGTCTGAAGCCGCTGCCACGAATCAATACATCATGAGAGCTACTTTGGCAGCAACATCTGGATTAGCTCAGCAAGTATGAATGTTTTTTAGTTTTCGTTATTTTTTTTTTTACATTTTCACCATGCAGCTTTGCTCTGGATCAATCAAACTGGAAGCACCACATCCTTGAAAAACTACAGTAATGACAGTCCGTTGTGACATTGGTTTGTTGGAAGCTGCTTGAAATGATTTTAACAAAATAAATGCTAAAACATTATTTAACTGTTAAAAAACAAGGTATTCTGTTAACTAGAGGTGAAACGCATGGGCCTAAATGTACAGAACAAGCACAATAATTACAGTGCATTACTGTTGAACAAAACAAATCCATACAAAAAGTTTACAAAAACAATTATTTACAATCATGATTCAAATCAAAGTCACCACAGAAAGCATCTATGGATTTACTAAATATGTCAGCAACCACTAAAGAGAGGTTGTTGGCTGCTACAGTTGAGGACTTTAATGAAGATTAAAATTACATTACTAGAAAAAAAAATAGTTGAAGACAAACAGCGCAGGAGCAAAACACTTTACTCTGATAACTTACAGTTCTAATGCAGTTTATGCAGACGGCCCTCTTCTTCATCCTTCTCATTTTTTTCTTGTTATCCTTCATTTGTGGGAATACAATGTCAGGTTAGAAATGAGCATCCTAATTTCTGTGGTAAGAAGTTTGTTAATGCCGTCTTCTTTCCCTCGTTTCTTTTGGATAATAATAAAGATAACACATTCGTTATCAGCTGATTAGCATGAACTTCTTGTATACAATTAAAATAAATGACATCTAGTTACCTCTTGACAATACACTATTAGACTAGCATGTGTTTTCTTCAATCAGACTTGAAACAATATGAATGTCTCAATAAAATCACATAAGCTACAAAAATCTACATGCATCATCACTGGATCATTAAACGTAACTGTTTATCATTACATTACAATGTTGTTGTTTTTTCATTTTTTCATTTGCGCATAAAGAAAACTAACACTTTTACACATTTACTAATACAAATGCACAGTTGGGAATATACAAATATGGCTCAGACCCTGCCTGCTTCTAATTTTAAAGGATTTTGAACACATAGATCAACAAATATAGCCATGAAGAAAGAGTTTTCTCAGGTCTTTGTGGTAGATCTTAACCGGTCCCTGACATCAAAACTGGTCAAACTGAGACACTGAATTCTAGCTATAGACCTCTTTATTGGCTCAAGGCCTCTTGATGCTCAAATGGAGCAAATCACTGCAGCCAGGTGCTAAAATATTGACAAAAGAAAGAGAGGCTGTTATATACTCAAAAATAAAACACATTAGAAGAAAATGGTCATCAATCATATTTAGGTGTTTTCATGGCAATCTGTAGTGCAAATAACAATGCAACTGTTTTGTCACCCTAAAGCACTATTTGCAAAAGTGGTTCAAAGTTGATGTTGTTCTGACCCATCTTTCTTTTTCCATCATAAGTTCACTGTGCTTTTGTTAATCCCAAAAGTTTGCCTTTGATCTGTTGTCCTTTGTAACCTTATGCAGCTTTTCATGGATCATAGTGCAGCTTTCCTGGTCTAATGCTGTTATGTTTGTTGCTGACATTTCCATGTAGACAGATGTGCCTCATAATAAATCCAGTTGTAAAGTCATATATATCGAGGACTTAAAACTACATATCAATATATTTTGTTTTTTTCTCTAAAGTGCTTGATTGTAGATTTACAACATTAACAGTGTATTCACGTGATCCATTTTTAGAAAAAGGAAATTTAAAAATAGCCAAAAACACTTTTTGATTCACAGTCCACTTCTTTGTCCTCTTGATGTATTCGTGAAATGGTATATTCTTCACAGAATAGGGTTCATATTGTTGTTTTTACTCATCTTGTCTCATCCTTTGATCATACAGAGACACATACATTGGTTTACATGTTTGAGTAAATATGAAAAGTTTTCACCTGCTCGCTCTTCTTGAAGTTGTGAGATTTCAGCGATTCTCTAAGCTTTCTAAGCTCCATGTGTTCACATTTTTTATTCCAATACATCTATGATGAACTACTGTTTTATTTAATGTGATACATGTATTTCTCTGTCTTCTTTAAAATGTTGTGTTTCTCAGAGTCTCCTATTTTTTAAATTGATTGATATGGTGTTTAGGTGGTTTGCAAATTTTGACTTGGGGGCGGGGGGGGAAGATCATGAAATAATATTCTTCTTCCTCTCTGTCTTTCTTGTCTTTTTTGTTATTATCATGGTGTTGTTTTTTTGTATTTGCATTTCATATTGTTATAGTAGTGTGAGCCATTCTTCACTCTGAAAACATTTGACCTTTTTCTTACTTTTATTTATTCATTTCAATGAGACAGCAAATTCTTGAAATGGTCAGTGTGGCCGAAACAAACCAGCTCGGCAAGAAATCTTCCTGAATAAAATGTTTTCAAAAACTGCATCCAGAAAATTTGCATTTCACCTATTGTCCAAACCATCAGATAATATGATCCGAAAAAAAAACTATCAAAAAGATACCGCCAAGCCGCATTAACTTTATTCAATTAAGAATAATTAGTATTTAATTAAAAATGCAGATGGGAATAAGTGATAATAAACAGTGGGCTCCTGAACTGAAGCTTCCATGCAGAGACCATGAATTTGTTTTAAATTTAGAAAGATTTAGGCACGGATTATGATTCACATACAAAACATGCTCCATGAATGAAGGGGTCTGAAGGCAGCATGTTAATCCGAGGAATCTTCTGCTGAAGAAAGAAATCCTCTTCTGTCCATGGATTTCCATCACAGCTCTGAAGTCATACACAGCAAGTTCCAAGAAATGCCTCACTACAACTTCACAAGTGTCATTAACCCTGCATGTTTAGTTTAAACTTACTTAGGCCTCATGAGATGTATTATAAAGGCACATATATCATTTCTTGCTGTCTTTATACTATAGACTAAACCAGTGGTACTCAATTGGTGGGTCAGGACCCAAAAGTGGATCGTTTCCAGTGGGTCGCGAATGTGTGCCTAAAATAGTTGTGTCAAAAAGTGAATGAAGAGCTTTTAAAACATGCTTGTTTTATTCTGTATTTTTGTCCAATAATGCTTTGTATCATAGTGGTCCAAACCTCTACTTCTTTTATTAAATAAATCTAATTGGTTGAAAAATATCAGAAATTTGGTTCATAATTTATCATGAAGGAGTAGGTGTTGGGTCCTGAAGCCAGACCAGTTGAGAACCATTGCACTAAACCTCTCTCGATGTCGCATATTTGTTTCGAGGATCACGTGGTTTACATAGTTGAACGTCATTCCCATTACATAATGACTCTCACAGGACGAGACAATCTGACATCAGGAACATTTCTGCTTTGCCCTGAATGTAAAGACGGTTGTGGTAAATGTCAGCAGCCGAAAAAGAAGAGAGTAGTGTAAGTTTGATCGACAGCGCTGGATTACAGCATTATGCAACACTACTGGGAGTAAAAAAAAAATAAATCCAGATGAGATTAGGATCTGCATCATGGCTCTCTCCAATGCTCTCTGTCTATCCATTCATCCGCCCCTCGCTCTTTCTCTGATTCATGTAACACATTATCACAGAAGGTGGTGGAAATGACTTCTTTCAAAAGGATTGGTGGAGAAACTGCAGCACAGCTTTACATTCTCATAAAGACATTTAAGATTTCAGTTCTTATTAGAAATACTAATTAAGTATATGTCCATTAGAGCTGTCTAGATACAAGTATGAAAATAAAATAAATAAGACCCTTTAGACAGGAGGTAAGTCTCTTCTCTTCCATCCAGGGGAAGAAAATCATGCTGCAACATCTGACTGCATACTTACACTCGTTTTACTTGTTTCATCTGCCAATGAAATCACTGTCAGCCTGTAAAAAAAGTGTTATCTAAAAATAAAAATAAACATACTAAACTCACTGCAACTGCATTAACATTTTTATCATCCATATTAAGTCATTTAAAAGTAAACTTTTGACCAAATACAGCTATCTGAATATGTCGTTTTATTCTCTGGTGGCTTGTAATGAATACTTTATTTTGATTAATTTAAAAAAAGCTAAGGCCTAAATGACATATTACTGAGTCAGACATTGATACATAAATGATTGTAAATCTAACCTTAATTCCAAACCTCACTGAAACATGAGCTATCAGCACTTCATCAGTATTGCGCATCTGAAAGATTCATTGCAAACTGCATATATCAATAAGGTAATATCTTGTCAGTAAGCTTTCTTTCTAACACTGACATATTAAAGTGTGATTTAATGCGACCATTCACCCCAACTGTAAAAACATTTACTTACATCTTAGAGTTTACATCTCTTTCAAATTAACTCTTTCACTTCTCCAGGCTTTGAATATGCTTTTTCTTTTTCAAACAGGGTGTCAATGTTAAGATGTTTGAGTTACTATTTATTTCCCATCACAGGGTTTAAATACTTAATGTGTTCAAAACTTCACAACTTGATTTAACTAAAAACAAAAATACTCCATAAGACAACCTGCAGTCCGGAAATTCTAACTTTAACCCGACTGCAACCCAGGAGTAAAGCCACAATTTGATGATAAATCACAAATAATATCCTGTTTATCTTCTGGTTGACATCCTGTTTCATTATCTATGCAATGACAAGTTTGATGAGTGGAGAAATTATTTACTATTAATCAGCTCTATTACAAAATAAAATTTACTTCAAAATGACAGCGGAGCAATAATGTCAGACCAAGTTAAAAAACAAAATCAGAAATGTATGTAACACCCTGCATAAAACACTGATGAACTGGGAGAAGCAGTCACCAAATATCTGCAGGAGAAAAATATCTGACCATAAACAGGCACATCAAATTCAACCATGAATCACATTGAGATAACCAGCTGGTGTTTCACAGAAAAACCCAGGGAGTGGACAAAGTACGGCTTCAAAGTTGCATAAAGCACCTGCGCAACAAGTTGTCTGTAATATTTCTTTGACAGAAACAAGTTGAGTGAAAGTTAATGAATGCATGTTTTCAAGAAACATCACTTATAAGAGGGTTACGATACCACCTGTAAAGGCAACTCAAGTCATGGTATCGCTTTATTTTATTGACTAACACCAAAAGTCTGCCAAGAGTAGTGTTTTTGTTTACAAAAGTCTCGATACTTCATCTTGGCAAACTTTACATTACCTCAACAAATCTATTGTGGATATTGTGGGATGTTTCTGGCAACAACCCCCTAATTCAAGCTCATAGGTAAAGAAATAAAAGCATTGTAATAGAAACCTTCCAAGAGAAAAACTTTCTATGAACTATAGGCAGTCTTGGTCATCTCATATAAATGTATAAGCCTCTGCACACACTGAGTCTAGTTGTATTGATATAAGTTATTACTAACCTTTTTTGGCTGTATGTCAAGAGTGGATTTTGCATGTTTCTAAGTAATTAGCAATGAGGCTTTTGATATAAGCTACATGAACTAGCCAGCCAACTTTTCTTTACATCAGGCCTATGGATTCTACTTGTTGAAAATAAATTGTCATCGCTCGTAGATTTATACAAAATAGAGCTGGATCTACTGTCTTCAGAATCTCGATGTCTTCCCTTCAGTCTCAGTCTCAGTCACAGGTTTTGTTCATCCATCAGATTTTCTTCCGTACGCTCACAGCCACAGAGTTCCCGTACAGCAGTCTGTCCCGCTCTCGCACATCCTCCTGCAGCTTTGCCTCCGCCACCCGCAGCTGGCGGATGGTCGCCTTCATCTCCTTCATCTTCACCTCCATCAGTGCGATGATGTCCCGCTGCTCGTTCAGTTTCCGCAGCAGCTCAGCAGACGTAGTGCCGGTGGTGAGAGAGTACGAGTGGTCCAGCGGGCTGCTGGTGACACTGACGTACTGCACGGGCTGCTGCAGCAAGCTGGACGCGGTCTCCACCGATGAGTCGTCGGCGGTCAGCTCCTCCGAGGTCCCGATCGGCGCTGTGAAACAAGTCCCCTCAGACTGTGCGGGCAGCCGCGCCGTGCCCAGGTACTCCCCGTTTTGGCCTATCTGAACCACGGTGATGGTGTCGTCGCTCGCCTCGCCGCCGGTGTTGCCCTCGGCTCCTTCTGCCGCGTTGCCCAGGACGTTGGTAATGACAATCCCGGAGGTCGCTGCAGCGGCGGTGGCAGGAGCCGCCGCGGACACTTTCCTGCCTCTGCCCCGCCGACTCCTGCGCTCATTGACGCCCCGCAGAGGGAAGAGGGACGGTACCCGAATGGAGTACGTCTTCCTCCCGCCGGCGAAATGCACGCTGCAGACTCGGTGCCCCGTGGTGGGCTGGAAGGTGCTGAAGCAGCCGCTGACCCCGGCCCGGGAGATGTTCCTCAGCCACATCTCCCTCAGCGTGGTGTCTTTAGGAAATGTGTAGAAGCGCAGCTCCCGGTCCCGGTGCGAGTTGTTGTAGCAACCAGGCACGCAGCAGGTGAACCCGGGCATGTTGCCTTCAATGCCGAACCTATTAACGCGTACTCGGGTTAAAAATTGGATATTTAAATGTTGTTTCTTTATTCTATGCGTTGTTATAAAGCTCAGTGGCCTACAAGCGGAACTACACGTCCCACAACGCTAACAACTTCCTGTTTATTTTTTTACCCAAAGTGAGCCGCTCTTGCTCGCACGAAGGCTGAATCCACCCGAAATTGCCCGGACTGAGAACATGTGGAACCTGTATTTATGCTGAATTCGAGGCAATTTTTTTTATTTTCGGTGGTAAATGGCTTGTTTGGTCTTTCGCGGTGTTATCAAGCCAACCGTCCTACATCGAGAACTAAAAGTCCCATAATTCCTTGCGCGTCTTGTGCGCCAAGTCCTTTAGCGCGCTACTGCCCCATGTGGCCATTACGTGGACGCGGGGTTTTAGGGCTCAGCTGAGAGAAAACAATAACCTATACTGTAGAGATGTCGTGTCATTATTTTAGCAATAAAAAATTATTCAACTTTTATTCTTGAATCATTTAGAAAGTGAACATTGTTGTCCAGTAATTGGTGCAATAATCAGTAGTATCAACAATAGCACACTTCCTACAAAGGTATAAAGTAATGGCATGACAGTATTAAACTAAAGATGAACTATAAACGAACACAAATTAAAGGAGGTTTGTGCTTGCCGCTGTAACTTTGCTAAATGTTGCTTAGTGTTCATGATGGAGTCATGTTGTGTCTTTATAAATAGTTGCTCCGCTTTATTGGCTTTATCTGAATCTGGATTACTGTATTTCCCTGATAACAATCATGATATATCTCTGGTTCAAGGGAAACCATTCAATTGCAAACCCTGCTTCCTTTTTCAGGAGCTTCCTTTGGTAAAACTTGTTTTGATTTAGTATATTAAATAAAGGCCTATATGTTCTTATATACTCTGAATGATATTAGCTCCACGGTTTAGTGATTGATAGATCCATCCTATGTGGATACCTGATGTAACCAAGTTTAGCAGTGCGGGGAAGATGTCAAATAAGGCAAAATCTAACCTCAGCAACACAAGTGTTATTAAATCATAATAAATATTAAATCATTCAAGTCTGTTAAAGGACGATATCCTGTTTCTCTCTGCCATATTCACCGATAGAAAAGCAAGACGCTTGCATCTAGGTATTTCTGTGGTTATTTCAATGTGTCCATGTTAAATATGAATACATTCCGAAGGATGTTTAAATTGTTGGATTTGATAATAAATCAGTATAAAAAATAAACAGTTTCCTTCAACTGATTTGTCAGACTTGTCGTTTGAAAAACCATGTTGTACAGCTTTTTGTATCTGCATATGTACTTACTTTCATGGCCTATAAATATTTTCTGTTATAGGTAATTACATCAACTTCTGTGTGGATTGCTCCGTCCCAGCAAAGACTATTATAAACCGTCTCATGCTAAGAAGAAGAAGCTATACTTTATTAATCCCACAAAATTTAATTTTACACTGTTACTGAGACATGCTACACACATGCACAAACAGGATCCTATTGCCGTGCACTTAAGGAGAGATGTCAGAGTGAGGGGGCTGCCCCACAGGGTGCACTGCTGAGCTGGTGGGTTTTGGTGCCTTGCTCAAGGGCACCTTGGCAGTGCTCAGGTAATGAAACGGCGACCCCCCCGGTTCCCAACCCAAGTCCCTACAGACTGAGCTACTGCCGCTTCTATAAATGGTTATCTGGAGGAGGTGGTACACATGGAGGTGAGGTGAATACAGGTGGTCCTGAAAGTAAAGATCAGGGAGGTCAAGGACACAGGAGGAAGCTGGAGCTCTGTTACAAAATTGTAAACGTGTCTCTTCTTTCAGGTGTCTTCGCACAGGCCCTGAAAACAAAGTCATCAAGCAACTATTAAAAAAAAAACAATCTAGCAAGTCATTAATAAACAATTGCAGGCCTAAATTAAATCGATCTTTTAGTAAAATAGTAAAGAAAAAGCTGTTTTTCAACAGTTAAATAACTTCTGAACTTTGAACAACTGCTTTGACGTTTCTGACCACATCATAGCACTGAGATTATTGTAAACGTGTCTTTATTGGTCTTCCTTAAACATCAGTCAGACAACTGCAGCTGATTCAGAATGCAGCTGCTAAAGTCCTCACCAAGACCAAGAAAGTGGATCATATCACTCCACTTTTGAGGTCTTTAAACTGGCTACGTGTCTCTCAGAGAATAGATTTTAAACTCCTGTTGGTTTATAAAGCACTGAACAGTTTAGGGTCAAGAAGCCAAACTGCATTAGTGACCTTCTGATTAACTATGAACCATCCAGATTACACTGTTTGTCTGGGAGAGGTCTGCTTTCTGTCCCTAAAGTCAAAACCAAACATGTAGAGGCAGTGTTCAGTTTCTGCTCCATATATTGGGAACAAACTCCCAGAAAACTGCAGATCCTCTGAAACTCCTAGCTCTAAAAATGTAAATCAAGGTTGAAGACTCACTTGTTTACATCTGCTATTCATTAGACGATTTTAATATATGCATCTTAAATATTTTCTTACTCTTACTGTTTATGTAAGTGTTATTATATAGCTTCCTTTTCAGCTGTTTTTATTTCTTTGTCTTTGATTTTCTTTTAATGTGTTTTCTTCCCTTTGTATGCTTTACTTTTTTTCATCTCTGGTATTGTATTTTTGCCATGATTTTGCTTATTTTAATGAATTATTTCATTCCATTTGGATTCATTATTTCAACAACATCTAGGCATCTTAATCAGCAATTAGTTAAAGTTTGACTGGGTGCCCCTGCAGGGGGTATCTAGAAGTCTGAGCCAGCCTGTGAGCTGTGGCTCGACACAGATATAGCAGGCCAGTAATCCTCAGGAAGATGTTCTGGGGTGGATTTTTAAACAGAATCCTTTTCGACTAGGCCAGACCAGCCTGTGAATCTGTGTCTGGCTGGACAGAAAGACTCATGATCACTCGTGATCATTAAAAGTTCACTATTATTGACAGGCCCAACACACAATACTCTATTACAAATTGGTGTAGTGTTAAGTTATTACGACCCTGGGTAGGGTTTCCAGGGCTCCTTAGGGCTGTGCCGACACATGCAGCACAAACTGTGAGCCTAAATACTCAAAAAGACTTTATAGGGTGGGTTATTAGCCTAATCTATTTCTACAAGACCAGCAGGCGAATCTGCTGGTCTTACAGAAGATTCTGTAGCCTAGTGATGAACTTCTGAGTAGGCTACTATAACACAGACAGTAGCAAAACAGATAATATCATTACATTCCAAATTTGAGGTTATTTATATATTTTGTACTTTAATTTCTTATTTTTGATTAATGTCATGTTTCCTCATTTATTTTGGATAACACGTTTCATATTATCTTCTTTTTTTGTATCATTTAGCATTTAGATATTGTGTCGTTGTGATTGTAAATGGTTTGTTTTAATGCTTTTTAAATGTCTTCTTTTTCCTTTTCCCTTTGTCATAATGCTGTTGATGTCTTGTGTAAGGTAGGCTACATCACTTGTTGCTGAAATGTGCTATTTATAAATAAACTTGCCTAGGCCTACTATATTATATGGAAGCCCATTTCCGCCAGTAAAAAAAATAAAAATGAAAAAAATAAAGTCTCATAATTTCAACTTTTCATCTCATTATTTTGACTTATCTCATAATTTTGACTTTTTATCTTATAATTTCGACTTTATATCTCATAATTTCATTTTTCATTTTTATTTTTTTAACTGGCAGAAATGGGCTTCCATAATATTACGAAGGCTGTGTTAAGTTATATTATTGTAACTGAGCCTTATCCGAGGAAAAAAAAAAAAATATGTCAAACATCTTTTTCCTTGTGTTGGGTGTTTGTTTGAATTATTTCCGAGTCAGCTGTAGGCGGCTGTGTCCCTGTTATATGAGTCTCTGCTACTGGCTCATCTCCGCTCTCTTGTAGTATCTCTGGTCGTCTCCACAGCGCCCCGTGGTTGCTACTGAAGTTACCATTAGCAACTGGGCAGCGCCCGGTGGAGCACATCTCACCGCTGTCGATGCTGTCCTTGTAAAAGCAGTACGTAAGCTTATGTTTCTTTTCACTAGGTGCTTTATTCACACTTAGATAAACGAGGGTTTGATAAATAAAATGTAGACATAAACTCTGTGAAGTAACAATGTTTATCGGGAGCTTTTTAAGTTCACTTTTGCGGCTAGCTGAACGGGCTAGCTCACGTTACCTGTAACATTAGCTAGCACTGAGTGGGAGTGAACCTTGGCTTTCCGAAGCATATGCGCCTATCATAGTCAAATAACTGTGCACTTTCTGGTTGATTTGTGGTCGAAATGATGGCCAATGCCCAGGTTATTATCTATATCTGCGAGGGCACATGCGTGTGACATGTCTTTGTTATGTGATGGTGACCCGTACACGGCTGGGTTTGTTTTTAGTGGTGTCTGTGTTTGATGAAGTGGCTTCACCTGCTCTCACACTGTCTGTTTGCTCACGGAGCTCTGAGGTGCTGCATTAGGAGGGGGCGGGGGGGGGGCTACATAGGTAATGCAGGTGCACAGGCACACATCAGTATTGTACAAGGGGAAACAAGTGTGACATAAGGTAGGAATTTATCACAAATACATGCTAAATTCTTAAAACAGAAAACCCATTACATTTGGCTTTTTTCCCCAACTTCATTAGAGCTCTGTCAAGAAGAAGCTGCCCCCCCCCCCCTTTAAATATATGCAATACAGAGGACAGGTGCTCCCACCACCACCAGCTGTAGTACAACAACAATAATACACACTGAAATCCACACCTAAGTTTCAGACCGTCACAGATGGATTAGGAAATTAGGTAAATGAAGAGTAAGGAGTGTCACACATGCACCCATCCACACATCCACACACACTCTTTAATGTTTCTTTATCTTTGTGAACAATCAGCAAACCACCAACTTAGTCAGGGTTGAATGATACTAAAAAGACCAATTCAGTTTTCTGTGTTCATGTTTTGGTACCTTTATGCCACTAAGTAAGTGTTTAATCCGACGAAACTTGCACTTGCTTCAGAGGTAGAGATGACGTTTACTTTTGGTGGGTGTGGATTGTTTCAGGAATGGCATGTTAACTATGCAGCAGGACACAATGAAAGTAGCTGTCACAGAACCGATGGGGAAAAAAAGTCCCAGACCTCCATTGGACATGTTTGTCTTGTTTGTTGGTACAGTCATCAGTGTCTGCCCTGGTCGTTTATCCGGCATTGTTACGTAAGGATAGTATTTAACTGCTTTTGCTGACTGAGTAATGGTGGATTATAAAATGTATTCTTATTTTTTACAGGTACTTCCAGCTCTCCTTGATTTTAATAACAAGTCAAGGCATTGACAGAGAAGTGTATCATAAGCTGTGGAGATATTGATGATGCTGACCATTTTTAACACGTCAAGTTGCTGAAATTGGCACTACCATGTTGCCAGGAGTCGGTGTATTTGGCACCGGGAGCACAGCCCGAGTGCTGGTCCCATTATTGAAAGCTGAAGGCTTTGACATTCATGCACTCTGGGGTAGAAGTGAGGAGGAAGCGCGCTGCTTGGCAAAGGAGCTTGGCATCCCATTTCACACCAGCCGATCTGATGATGTCCTTCTGCACCAAGACGTCGACCTCGTTTGCATCTATATTCCTCCCTCGATGACAAGGCAGATTGCGGTCAAAGCACTGGGTAAAAGATAATAAACACTTACACACTTATGCTGAAATTCAATGTAGTTTTATTTTTTGATGGTCTGTTTTGTCTTAAAACATGAGGAATATTTAATATTTAAAGTTTTCCCATTCATCCATCACAAGCCATAGAACATACAGCATGGCTATGAAAAAATATTTTAGGATATCATAACGATAGCTTATTCTTATTTTACATGGTAGTGTTGCGTAAGCACAGTTTTCTAATGTGACCTGTCCCACCTGGGCGTGGCAGTTTGGCTCTGGAACCGATTTTGGAATTTTTTATTAGTGCTCCCCACAAGACTTTTCAAAAAATGGCTGAATTTCTGTGCAATCTGTTTCTTAAGGTCCATCCTTCAGATGTCAGCAGAGATGATTGTAAACTTGACATCAGGGACTTGACATGTAGTAACTGGAGGGGAAAAGCTCTAATTCACAGAACTAAAGACAATAACTTAAAATTCTCCACATTTCACCTCTGTTATCTACATATTAAAAAACAGCACATAGTTATAGCATATCAGTTGAGATCTGTTAAGTTAATTTGCTGTATCTGATGGAATTCCTGAGCGTTGACCTCAGCTTCCTGTTTTAGTTGCAACTTCCTGAGTGAGTCCCCACCAAAGGACTTACCCACAGCTTTACCTCCCACAGATACAGTATTATAGGCTCCTGATCTCTATGTATGAGAAGTATGCATTTCCTCTATACTATCACATTCACTTGCAGGACAATATTTACATGTTGTGTAATCATACCAAACCCCAGGAACTGCACAGGAATACCATCTAAGGCATTCACATCCACAGAGTCACAGTTCTGAGTCCAGCTAAACTTTAAATCATTTTAAAAGAATGTACTAGGGCCATTTTTATAGAATAAAGATAAATAAAGAGACTCCAATTTAAGGTTTGTTTTCAATGTAGGTTGAAATATGCAAAACATGAATTGTTTGTAAAACATCAACACTAAAAGACAGATGAAGAATTCCAGAGAGTGAATGCAATCATCATAATCTCACCTGCTACATAAAATAATTATTCAGAGAAGGAAATATATCACTGATCATTTCTGTCACTGTAGTCAGACTTGTATCACAAGGTAACCACAAATCATTGGAGAGTTTCAAGTGTTGGATGTGCAAGGTTGTGTCCTTTTTTTGAATTTTAAATGATTTTAAAATTAAATGATGTCTACCTGAATTATATCAACTCCTTACTTTCCCTCTCTCTCTGCAGGTATAGGTAAAAATGTCGTGTGTGAAAAAGCTGCAACAGCTGTGGATTCATTCAAGATGGTTACAGCAGCCAGATACTACCCCCAGCTGCTCAGCATTATGGGTAATACCCTTCGCTTCCTACCAGCTTTTGTTGCAATGCGCCAGTTGCTGGTGGAGGGTTACGTTGGTGAAATCCAGGTGTGTGATGTCCGAGTCTACGGCCCAAGCCTCCTGGATCAGTCATATGGCTGGACGTGTGAGGAGTTGATGGGAGGAGGCGGCCTACACACTGTCGGCTCTGCCATCATTGATCTTTTAAGTTATCTAACGGGTGCACGAGCCCAACGTGTTCATGGTTTACTGCGGACATTTGTACAACAGAACGGCTTGATCAGGGGCATTCGCCGCGTCACCAGCGATGATTTCTGTTTCTTTCAAATGTTGATGGGTGGAACTGTGTCGAGCTCTGGTGGCGTGTGTTGCACTGTGACTCTGAACTTTAACATGCCGGGGTCATTCCTGCACGAGGTTATGGTTGTTGGTTCATCTGGAAGACTGGTCGTCAGGGGGACCGAGCTGTATGGTCAACGCAATGGGAGTAAAGGTGAGGAGCTGTTGCTTGGTGACAGTGGGTGGACAGGACCCGAGGTGAGAGAGATGCCCCTGCCTCACCTGCAGGGGTTGAGCGCGATGGTAAAATCACTGAGACAGTCTTTTCAGTCTCATGAGGAGCGCAGGTCATGGGAACGAGGCCCTGTTGCCATGGCACCAACATTTGAGGATGGTCTGTATGTGCAGACGGTGGTGGAGGCGGTAAAGCGGTCCAGCTGTTCTGGAGAATGGGAGTGTGTGGAGATCATGAGTCAAGAGCCAGATCCAAATCACAACCTGTGTGAGGCTCTGCAGAGAAACAAGAACTAATTATTTTTAAACACCAGGTGCAACGCTACTACAAATCTAAGCTCTGAATGTTTCCCCTTAACTCTGCTGCTCAGGCAATTTCCATGATATGACTACTTTCTGCTTTAACATCTGATATAAGAAAACACAACTGTGTGGGGAATATCTTTACTCTCTCAGTTTTTAGGTTCATACACTAAGTTAGATGAACACAGCTCCATTATTCTGATTCTCAACAGAAGACTTTATAATATACAAATGTATTTGTGTCACTTGTCAATATATTATTCACCTGTCCAGAAAACAGTCACAATCATTGTGCTCATTCACTGAAGCTTGACTTTGGAGAGGCATGACTGCAAAGTTCCCACTGAAAAATAAAGGTAAACATCACATGTCAGGTAGAAACCAAACAAATGTTAAGGGCGAGTCTGTCATATTTGAGATAAGTTGCCTGCATACATCTGGCTATTTTAAGAAGGATGTAGGTTTTTGTATTTTCTTAGCTCAACCGTCATCCTTGTAGTTGGACAAGAGCACGGCTCTTTCTTAGGTATGAGGAAGATTTTTTTTAATGTCCTCTTTTAAGGTGTTTTTTGGTGGTTAAAGAGTTGGAGATTGTTATACACCAATGCATTGTTGACAGTACATCAGCAGTAGCTGTTTTTTGAACAGAACAGGTTTGAGTTTTGAGTGATAAGCAGACCAAAGGTTTTTGTACTTAATCAATTCAAATATTTTCACTTCTTTAACAGATTGACCCAATTCAATTTGAGACAATATTTATAGCTTACATGTTGATTTATTTTTGGTGTTTATTTATTCACAACACTTACAGCACCTTATTCTAAAAGGAAGAGTTTACCTCAGACAGAAATGTGAATGTCACAACAGGTCAAAGATTTGACTAACAAAATCCTCTCTCTGTGTGAAGAGTGTTGACTGGCAGAATTTAAATGACGCTCCACCCGAGCTAAGCCTCTGCGAAATGTAGAATAAGAATAATGGAGCTGTTTAGAGTTTACTTTCTGATTTTTTTTAATGCGTAAGATGCAATTTTTTAAAAGTGGGGATGATTGTATGAGGTGCTTTTGGGTATTTGTCTTGTGGCATATATAAGAAACCAGGGATTAAGTTAAATAAGCTATGTAGAGTAAAATAAATAACTTTAATTTTTTAGCGTTGCCCCTCAAAAAATTCCTGATTCTGAAAGGGATGCTCAATTTTAAATCTTAGAAGATGTACTTTGAGCCAAAGTGTGAAAAGTTTGTAGTTTCCTTTTTTGCAGCTGTTTAAGTGAGCTCAAGTTCATGACGGATTAAAGTTTTCACATGTTTTCAATGTGGTGGAAAATATATCTAAACTTCAAACAAACACTCATCATCCATGTGCTCAGTCATTTTTTCACCTACATGTACTACATGAATTTAAAACTGCTTCAAGAAGCAGATATTCTGGTCTGATTTTCCTTCAGAGAAATAGATTCATGTAGATGTTCTGTCTTTTTTTTCTGCACTTGAAATGAATGGATGGTTGTCCTTTCAAACAAATTCAAATAGTCCGTGAAGAAGGAAACTACCACCTTTCACAGCCTCATCAGATAAGATTTTCAGATTATCGACCTTTTAATCTCCAACTGTCAAAGATCGGAAAGCAAAGTCTGAAGGAAAATGAATATTAAATAAGTTTGAATGTGTGCATAAGGTTTGTTTACATGTGTCAACCCTGGAAGTAATTGTATTTGTTTAAAAAAATGTTGTTTAATGCTATCTATGGTTATTACACATGTTGAAATCCAGAGAGAGGGGCCACCATCCACCTTGCTTTACTGTTCATCCTTAAACTTTTACTGATCGTTTCATTGAGTAGAATCACTGGATTTGATGTATGTGAGATAATAAATGTACGAACTGACCAAGAGCAGGAAGTTGGAAACAGCTCCGGTTGTTGTAGTCACTAACTGAACTTCACCTCTGCTGACTATCAGTCATATTTGCCACGCAGGAACTGTAGTTAAAAACTCATGTTACATGCTTACCTCACGCTTTCCCTACAGTGCTTTACAAAAACAATGCATCAAGTTTACACTAAGTGTCTTTACATCTCTTTAGCCTGCAGGATCTTTCATAACCAGCTACTATTAAAATACATTCCGACTAAGTGCTCCCTTTATTCACAACTGATGTTTTTTGTTTTATTATTTGCACTGATAATTGAAAAGATGTCACCTATTTAATATGCAGTGTGATGCTCATACCAGCCAGCTCACTGCACCACTGAGTTCCACACTTGTCTGTATTAGGAAAGCTTATGTTTGTATTTATTTATATATCGGTGTGGAGAAAATGTCCCAGCACTCAATGTTTTTGTTTTCAGCCTGTGAATTTCTGTTTTAAGCTGTTATATTTATCTTGTGTAGATGAAGTGTTTTAATTGATAATATGGCTTTTTGAGCACAATGTGTCGCATTTTTTTGGCAAACTGTACTGTTTATCTGCCTGACAGATACGCCCTTTAATAAATACAGTATAATTCATTAATTGTCCTTGGTCATGTACTCATTCTGATCAAATAACTCTCTTTATTGATGAAGTATGCAGTTGTGTACTTTTCTGAACTCAACAGTATCATAGTCCATTTTAACCTAATTAACACAAATGTAGTATTTTGGAACTCCAATATTTCTTTCCAAAGGAGATGTGTCAGGAAGTCAGACTCAGTTTTCACATCCAAAAGTCTAAGCTACATGATGCAATATGTAACATCATTAATTCTAATTCATCTAATTTCAAAACCGTCACCATTTCTGTACAGAAGCATTGTGCTGTTTCAAGGAACTGTACTTTAAAATGCAGGATATCCTAAACACTTACCTGCTGCTATCAAACCTGATGTGTGCTGCTGCCCTCTTGGCCAGGTCCCTTTTGTGTAAGAGATCTTGATCTCAATTGATTAATTACCTGGTTAAAAAAAGTTCCTAAAAAAAAACATTTAGATAAGCAATTTTGTAATGCACAAATATCAAACCATGGGGACTGTGAAAAAGGTTTTAGAATAATGTACAATTTCATGCTTTGTCTTGTAGATGCAATTTAAAATTGATGAACTGGAAGATGTAAAAACATGCTCTTAGAAGAAAATAAAAAAATTGCTTTGATAAACTTAACTGGATTATAACAAATGTAGAGACAACCAGGCATACCAGTTAACAATAACACAGTGGTACAAGGAAAATTTTCAAAAACATTTTTTTATTATTATTTCATTGACAGACGTTTAGAAAGAAATTCTGAATAAATGTAAATAACTGATAGATGTTTTTTGTTTGTAACTAATACAAGAGACTCAAAATGACCCTGAAATCTGCCTTGTTTGTTTCCACTCCGTACTCAAATTCTTACAACCCAAATCATTAACAGTGATATACTGTACAAGGAATTTCTATATATATATATAAATGTATTAATTCTACCAGCTAAATTCTTCATTCACAAATGCAAATTTAGTCATAAATGTATTTATTTTTCTTAAAAATGTTGAACAATATATAAAACGGACAGATAAAAATTAAATTAAAAAAGGCTATAAAACGGCGTTAAATATGTTTGTGTAATGTAACATTCAAACTATAGACTGTAGATTGAACAGTCTTATGAATGAAACCCCTGGCTGTTCGGTTTTATTGTGTTCTATGTCTTTGAATATCTTCAATAAAGATTTAAAAAAAAAAAAACACTGGATTTTTTATTTATTTTTTATTTACCGGATATGACGTTTCGGCCACGGCAATGCATGATGGGGCTGAGTGTAGCACTATGGTGTAGCATAACACAAGAGCAACGATAAATTAAGTTAATTGTTCCAATTCAGGTTAACGCCAACACAATTGAAAATACCGAGCAGTAGAAAACACACTCGTTTCTGTAAATCTCCCGGAACAGGCGACAGATAAATGGTCAGCAAAATAATCGTTGTTTGAGGCTATTTTTCCACCGTAGACTCAAGAGTCGGTGCAAGTGTCTTCCTCTGCAGATGTTTAGTGGCTAAACCGTAGACTGTAAACATTACACGCACTCAAGGCATCACCACGGCAACGCTGAGACACCTGAGAGTCAAACAACCCACCGAGGCCGTCAGGACGATCAAAGTCTGTGTACCTGAGGGAACCTTTATCCAAGAACACCGAGACATGGAGACAGACAGTGAACACTTCTGCTCGGGTATGCTTTCTTTCACCACGTGCTCTTTAAGTGAAGACACAGAAAAAAAAACACATATTTTAAGATTTTCTGAAAACGTCTAACCTCTTCTCCGAAAGTCTTGTTCAGTTTTACGGAAGCTAAAACTTTAATCCTCTGAAGATCATTAGGATGCTGATGATCAAGGATGGTCACATGAGACTGGTTAGCCGAGTCGTTGACCTAGTTTCGTCCTAGAGTTGTTAACCCCCCCCCCCCCCCAGTCATCTGTGGGTCAGTGTTGGGGTCAGAAGGTCCAAGGTGGGACTAGGGCTTAAGTTTTTTTCTTAGAGTATTCAAAACAGGATTGTAGCTTGTTGTAAGATGGTGTCTCAGACAACAGCCCCTGTCTTTAAAAATGTAGAATTTATCTCCCAGTCAATATGTGATTCTGATTTAATTAAACTGGTTTTCTCCACCTTAACATAGTTGGCTTCTTGAACACCCCTTTCAAAGCAATGGTCTTCCCTGGCCCAGGATGTGCACCATGACATCAAGGAGTGCCCTTAGTCCTTCAGATGGAAGTGGGTAGAAGAATCCTGAAGAGCTGGCTCTCCTATGCTGGTCCATGCGTCTGTGTAGTGGTTGTTTAGTCTCTACAGTGTAGAAATCCCTGCGTTCCTCATTGCGTAAACAACATTGCTTTACCTCAAGGTGTTAGATGGTTTGAAGTGTACCAGGATGTTGTGTCTGTGAAGAATCCGCTTTAGTTTTTCTTTTAGTCCAGAAGAGTATGGCGTTGCAATGCTGTAACGTTTATTTTTCACCTCTGTGCTTTTTAGAGGTCTTGACGAAGGCCCAGTTCGATTAACCACATGTCTTAAGTGCTTCCCTAAGGTGTTTCTGTTCCTCCTCTCTTCATTATTTCATTTCATATTTTATTTATTTGCTCATTTCAGTGCATGGTTTCAACACAATAAAACACAACAGGAAATATTTTCTCATAATACTGAAACACTGTTCATGAGCAAGCAGGAGCAGGAAGAAGACAACTTATAATACCTGCCCTTGTAGACACACTCGTAGCCCTATGTTGTAGGGTTCTGATGATACCTAGCTTATGTTTAAGGGGATATTAGGACTCAAAAAGTAAATACTGGTCCGTGTGGTTAGGTTTTTATACTGGAATGTGCACCAAAAACGAAAGCCCCTTTTATACTGGAGGATGCTAAAATAGTCCCCTCAGGCACAGGTGTAAGAACATGCACAAACTTTTCATAAAGGACCGAGGTTCAAACCCACAACCTTCTTGCCAACTCTTGCACTAAGAACACGCAAATCTCTTATTTCATATTATTATACATTCAGTTGTCCCCAATCTAATGGGTCACATGGAGCTGTGGGAACATTTAATGGTTATTTTTTTCAATATCTGACCTTCTGTGCACAAATCAAATGCATCAATAATTGATCATTCTCAACCCTAATCATAACTTTGTTCCCTCTTGTTTATCAGTGGAAGTGGCACTGGAGGATGGAGACTCTGACAATGTCACCATGGGGAATGAAGTAGAAGTTAATTCTGCTATCAGTGGCATCCTGGGAGCTGAACATGCACAACACATGACAAATGAAAACACGGTGAGTGACTTTATTGTCACCCGTAGACGGAGTAAGCGTAGCGTGATCTGGAGGCACTTCGAGTCCTTGGAGGGTTCGTCTGCCGCTCGTTGCCGCATTTGCTCGAAGAAGTTGCAGTGCTTCGAAGGCGGCACCACCAGCAACCTGCATCGACACATGTCTAAGAGACACCCGTTGGAGTTTGCACAGCTTTTTTCTAACGAGCAGAACCCACAGCCGTCCCACTCATCGCAGGGCGCAGATGCTGTTGAGGACACGTCGACACAACCAGAGACGGTCAGGGTGACAGAGAAGAGGGAATTTCCAGGTGATATTTGATTTTGTAATCAATTCTGATTAGTATAAAACAGACACACTTAATTCCCACCCGTCAGTTATAAATAAAAGACCATTAAGATGCTGGGATTATTTAAAAAGGAAAAGTCGTTGAATCAACCATATGATCAGCAGAAAGCAAATTGCCAACATTTTTTTAAATCTAGCATCTAGCAAGCAAAATAAAAAGTATTTGTTACAATTTAAGGCGTTACTGTCTGTCTCAGTAACATTTTGATTGATGAGATTTTAGACTGTTTGTCAGAGAAAACAAGGTAACAATATTAGATTTTTCCTGACATTTACTACACTGACTATTTAATGAGTTCTTCAAAAAAATACATTACAACATCTGTATCCATCATTTACCGTGTGGTGCAGCTGTAATTACTACTTTTTTTCCTTTTCTTATTTATTAGATGTTTCAATGGAGGGCGGAGACTCAGGCAACCTCAACACAGCGATTAATGCCGATATCAATTCTACCATTAATGGAATCCTGGAAGCTGCACAAGGCGGTCCAAAAGAACGATTTACACATTTAGAGCTGAGCGGTGACCACCCTATGACTCGTAGACGGAGTAAACGGAGCATGATTTGGAGGTACTTTGAACGCCTGGACATTTTGGATGCAGCTCAGTGTTGCATTTGCATGAAGAAAATACAGTGCTTTGAAGGCGGCAGCACCAGCAACCTCCATCGACACATTTCAAAGAGACACCCGGACGTGTTTTCACAGCTTTGGAATGATGGGCAGAACCAAAGTGTTAATGGGGACACACCACCAGAGCCTGCTAGAGCAACAAGGAAGAGCCCATGTTCAGGTGATGTTTTGAATCTTTCTGCTGTGTATAGCCCTATTCAGACTGCCACGGGGACGTTTCGCCTTCAATCTGAATGTCGCAGAGGCGTAATGGGGGGACGTTGTGATCCCCCCCCTCAGTACCGTCTTCAGGGGGTAATAACCGAGGCATTACAGAGGTGACGCGGTTTCAGCGTAGCCAGCGGAGGAAGTGCGGCTCTGTGTGCGGACGGTGACGCATGTCTGACTGTGTCTGTGCTGCAGCAACGCCAAAACGCATTGTGAATTCACAGAGACACCAATATTACGCCGTCGCAGAATCAATATGAATGTACTAAGACATGATGACGTATGATCTTAGTTACAGCACTTTTGCAAAGAAAAAAAAGCAGTCTGAAAAGGGCTTATCAAATCAAGTTTATTTGTATAGCACATTTTAAAACAGCTTCATCTGACCAAAGTGCTTTACAGGCAACGCATAAAAAGAAAGAAATAAGAAATTCATCTATATATATATACATGTACATATACATATACAAATACACAAACATATATATGTATATACATATATATATGCAGCCTACATACATATTACAAACACATACATACCCATGCATATGCATACATACAGATACATACCTAAGATAAATATATGGGGTCTGTTTCAACTTGTTTTAAATGCCAGGGAAAAGAGGTGAGTTTTGAGTTTTGATTTGAATGGATTTAACGAGTTGATTTGTCTGATGGAGGGAGGCAGTTGATTCCACAGACGGGGGCCAGCCACTGAGAAGTCACGATCGCCTCTGAGTTTTCGTTGAGCTCGAAGGACTACAAGGAGCGACTGTTCAGAGGACCTAAGGGGGCGTGATGGGGTGTAGGGGGTTACAAGTTCTGTTAAATACGGGGGAGCTAGACCACGCAGTGACTTAAAAACAAGTAATAGAATTTTAAAATGGACTCTAAGATCTACAGGGAGCCAGTGAAGGGAGGCGAGTACAGGGGTGATGTGCTGTTGTTTGAATGTACCTGTTAAAAATCTTGCAGCGGCGTTCTGGACGTACTGTAGCCGTGAGAGGGAAGACTGACTGACTCCCATATAGAGGGAGTTGCAGTAGTCAAGGTGGGACGTAATAAAAGCATGAATAAGCTTTTCTGAATCTTGGAAACATAAAAAAGGTTTTACTTTTGTTAAGGACCGTAGTTGGAAAAAGCAGCCTTTAACAACTGAGTTGATTTGTATGTCAAATTTAAGGGTTGAATCAAAGGTTACGCCAAGATTTTTTGCATAGGGTTTCTCAAAAGAAGACAGTGGGCCAAGTTTTTTACAGATCAAGTTGGTGGACTCCGGGGGGCCGAACAGAAGTACCTCTGTTTTTTTGTTCATTTAGTTTTAAGAAGTTTAGTGCCATCCAGTCTTTAATTTCTTTGAAGCAGTTGAGTAGTGGTTGCAGGGAGTGTGCATTAGTGCTTTTGAGCGGGAGATATTTTTGTGTGTCATCCGCAAAGCAGTGGAAGGATAGACCGTGCTTCCTTATGTTTGTCATTTATTCTTGACTTTTGTCAAAGGCATGTTGCTGAATAACAGAAACATACAAATGTTTAATGTTGTATTAACACAAACCTGAATTAAATAAAACTGAAATTCAGGAAAAAATCAGAAGAATCTTGATTTACAATCAGTGTGCATGACCAAGAGAACCATGATTGTTAACCTGACCAGAGATCTAATGCCGGTATTTAACTGCTTTAAATACTTCATGCAGTATGCACATTTGGTTTGGCATCAAAACAGTATTAAAGGTAGATGCCCCACCATGTTTTTATTTATTATATTTTAGAGGCGGTATCAATTGAATCAGATTTGAAATAACAGCTTAACATGATGAAAAGATAACATACAGGTGGAGCAAGATTGTATATTTTCAACAGCACTTTTCCCTTATGTTCTAACTGGAAACAAGGTTAAAGAAGAGGTAACTATCATCCAGTTAACACTTTATCAAGATACTTAAGTTCTCAGCCACTCAGCTGATTGTGTTGTCACTTAGTATTCTCAGGAATTCTGAGAAAGCAGTTTGGTGTCCCAGCTACTGTACTACAATCATCTAATGAAAGCGTAGTACATTGATGGAACTAATGACTTGCCCTTCTTCTTACAGGTGTGTTGGCGTTTTCGAGAGCCTCTGAAGGAGAGCTGCGTGTGTTGAGGGGGGAGCGGGAGCTAGTAGAAGCTCTGAGGAGAGCGCAGAGGGAGGAGGCTCAAGCTCTGCTACAACAGAGGGAGCTGATTAAGAAGCTGCGTGCAGCGAATGCCAGGGAGGCAGCTGCAGAGAGGGAGCAAATTGAGTCATTGAGGAAAACACAGATGGAGGAAGCTAAAGACTTGAGTAGACAGAGAGAAGCGCTTCAGAAGGAAAAGGCAGAGCTGCGGAAGAAACAGGAAGAGCTTCAGCAGCAAAGCTAGGGATGCATTTTGTTTGACCTCCTGTGTCTGTTAGATCAAACAACTGGACAGACATGTTGCTATCATCACTGACTTCAGACTTTCAAGTTATTCAGGACTGATTTCAAACTTCAATAATGTAGAAAAATGTAAATTCCACTAAACATTTGATACAAACAATGAAATAAATGGAAATAAAAATGGATGTGTTGCTCTCCACTTCTTGTGTCTGTAGTACAGCATCAGTCTGATGCAAAAAGGATCACAGACGAACGGATGCTTCCAGATAAGAATGTCTTCAAAACACAAGTTTCTCCAAGAGAGTTACAAAATTAAAGATGTGCCTTCTCACTCTGATAACTTTTGGGGATCAGCTGAGCTTAATTACAACTAAACGGAGTCATGTTCCATCCCAATATTCTCTTAGTCTCTCCTCAAATCAATGCATCAACAACATATCAGTCTGCAGGTTATACAGATGTATTTAGGACAGATGGTAACCTAGTTACTGGGATATTGTTTCTGAATGGGACACTAATTTCAAGTACTGTACTTGGGCATCAAAAATGAAATGTTATTAACTTCATGTGAATTGGTGCTGTGATATAAGTGTCTGGGGCGGAGACTCAGGAAATACATCACAATCCTAAGTGTGATTATCACTCCATTGTGTGTGATCCTTAAAAAGTCAGCTTTCACTATGGTGCTCAATTAGGCAAAAATCAAGGATGTATGTTTAAATAAACAATTATTGCAGATTGTCCGATGAGATTTAGGTTTTGGAATAAGTGCAAATTGTGTTCATTTGTTTTAATTTTTTAAATCCCCATTTAAGAGGAAATAAATACAAATGTTGGATTTACATCAAGTACAAAGACGTACAGCGCATGCGTTTTAATACAGTTTTCTAACCCAGAGTGAAACCTCTCAGGTAGTGCATATGCGGTTCCAAAACAAGACCCATAATGCCTATAGGTTGATGTTGAATTCAAACACAGCCACTGTTACATCTATATTAACAAGTTCAAATGATCCTTAGACGAGGAGGAAGGCTGTCTTATCTTTCGAAACCCTTATCGTTGAGGAGGTGCTGCCTGTCAGGCTGAACGCAGGGAGTAACGCGACGCTACGTGGGCTTTTCCTGAGTCCTACGTCTGTGGCGGAAGATGGCTGACAGCGGACCCGTGGTAGCGAAAAGATGCGACTCTGGCTCAGTGGCTTCAGTGAGTATGGAGACCATCTCAAGCCTAACGGAGCTGGAGGACCTGGAGAAAGTGTACGAGCAGCTCTGCGCAGAGGAGGTCGGTATAAAGAGTCGTTAACGAGAGTTTGTTCGACGTGGCCATTCACTGACGTCACCCCCACTTCCGGGACACTGCTGCTGCAGGATCAAAACAATACTCCTAAGACAGACCTTCACTGTAGTAAACGATGACTAAATTATTCATTAAACTATTGATTTCAATTTCCAGAGTGATGGTTTGGAAATCTAATTCAAATCTTCTTAAAAAACTGAAGAAACAAGAACACAACTCAACACACAACTCCTGTCAGAATGCCTAGGTGTTGAATTTTGGCTGCAAAATTGTGGTTTTCGCGATTCTGACTCTACAATCCATGCAAATGAGACTTCTGTGCAAAAGTGTAATACTAAATAAACTGCTAAGGAGTTTGTGTCTTGAAATTTGTGTTGGACCATCCTGAGAAAACGTACTCTGCTGACACAAAAGACGAATCTGATTTTAATATTCTTCTTTCAGAACAGTTTTAATACGAGCACTTATGATGACACGAAAACAACTCCTATTCAAAATGACTCAAAAAGAAATGTTTTAATGTACTCCATCTACACTGACCAACCAGTTTGTTTTTAGTTTGTCTTAATCTCTCTTCAAGCTCATCTGTATCTTTACGTACTCATCTTTCCCTTTCTCATCAGTCAGCCATATGTGTAGACATTTACTAAAGCGGGTGTGTGCATTCTTTGCATTTATTTGAATTATTTTTTGCGCATTGTGATGATAAGAAAACTTAGATGTCAATCTTTTTTTTGTTGTTTATTACTTGGATTATGTTTTTCTTCTAATACAGAAAGAAGTGGAAGTTGAGCTGGACAGACTGATGGGGCGGGAGGGGTCTATCCACACAAAGATGCTGGCGCTGCAGAGGATGGGGTACAGTTTGTACAGATCAGTGAGTCAGTGATAATCATAATTTATCTGCACATCAAACCCAATAATCTGTGCTCCGTTGTAGGCCAAACTTGCAGCTGATCGGAGGAGATGCCAGTCAGCTGTCAGGAATGATCACATTTACCTGCAGCTTGGCTGAAAACGTTAGCCGCAAAGTCAGACAGCTAGACCTGGCAAAGGTAAATAACCACATATTGATACAGCACTAATTGTACTTAACTCACAAATATATATATTCCTTGCAAAGCCCACTGTTGTTGTAAACAAATTATTCATAACATGAAAGCTGACAGTTTTAAATACACCTCTGCCAAACTCATCATTTTCAACTGATGCTGACTGTGTGAGAGTTTTAGATTTTGTTTTTTTTGTTTTAATTGAATATTTCCTTTTACTGCCATGAATAGAATATATGTATCTTTATTGTCATTGTTATAATAACAATGAAAAACAGTTTAGCAGCTCATCATCAGTGGCACAAACGGACAATAAAAATGATAAAGACAAGCATTAAAATCACATCATAGGAAAAACAATAATCACCTCATAAAAAACTAACTGCCATTACATTAAACCCAGATCACTATTATGATGAGTTTCAAAAGGAGATTTAGAAGCACATTTATAAATAAATAAAAATCAGTTTGGTACACACATAACATCTTATATGTGAGTGTGAATGATATTTGATGGACTAAGTTAGAAAAAGTCCAGTTTAATACTCATTAGGTAAACTACTGTTTTAACCATCTGTGTTCTCTTGTTACTATGGATTGAATTAGTTCTTGGTTTGTTAGTGATTTAATTTGTTTTGCTTCTTTACTGATATTGTAAATTAAGATTGATTTTGTATATTTTGTCTTGTTGTCTTTTTGTATGGAGCACAGGAATAATTGTTGTTATTGCAGTAGCAACTAATGGGGATCCAAATAAATAAAATAAATTCCTCTTTTTTTTTGTAGACACGGCTGTATAAAGTCATCCAGCGTGCTGATGACATCCTGGATCTGAAGTTTTGCACAGATGGTGTTCAGACAGCTCTACGTAACGAAGATTATGAACAGGCAGCTGCTCACATCCATCGATACCTCTCTCTGGACCAGTCAGTCATTGAGCTGAGCAGGCAGGGAGAAGAAAGTATGAGTCCTCTAGTTTCTGTCATAGTAAAGAAGTACTGTAATCTTACTTTTTTTGTCGATGTTGTTGTAGGTTTTATTTAGTTTTATACACTGCATTTTCCTCACTGCATTGTAGGTTGCAGATTAGAAACAACATAACATATGTCTATATGGCCAAACACACCTGTGTATGCCCTGTGATTGTGCTGGGCGAACCTGAGGAAGCTACAGGCGAAACGGATTATTAGCACACAATAAAAAAATATAGTTAAGTTATTTACAGTGTGCTACGGACGTTTGATTTGATGAAATATGTCTATGTTTGCCCTGTAACACTGCTGATGTTTCACGTCTGCACAGGTAGTGCAGTGGATGCCAGTCTGATAATGCTGCAGGAGGCGGAGCAGAAGCTGAAGGTCATCGTGGCTGAGAAGCTGGATGAAGCTGTCGCAGCGGTTGACATAGCACAAGTTGAACGATTCTTCAAGATCTTTCCTCTGTTGGGCCTCCACAAGCAGGGCCTGGCCCGCTTTGGACAATATCTCTGCAGTCAGGTCAGTAGTCTCTTGTCTAAGCATTGAAGAATCTTGAATTTCATTCTGGATCAATACAGAATTGATCTAGTCATCAAAGTAAATCTCAACAAAAGTTTAAAAAAAAAAAAAAATTAAATAAGGTTCATCTTTAGACTGCTGACCAATGAAGGCGTGGAACATGTTTGATGCAGATTCAGGGATCCTGCATTTTTCTAAACACACTTGTTATTTTTGATGTTGCACTTGAGAATAAAATAACTTTGTCACAATAACCTTTGATTTTAAGAATGTATGTTTTCTGAGTGTCTGGATACAGATATAGCTTTAGATTTTTAACATGTTGAACATTTTCCTTTAGAACATTTGTTGGACAACATTCTTTGAAATTATGTAAATTAAACATTTAGTCCCCTTATTGTTTACTTGTTTTAAGATTTATAAATTTATTAACTCACTTATTCATTAATTCTTTGGTAGAAGTGTGTCAGCTTAATGCTATCATTAGGAAAATGTTCAAAACTTAAAAAAAACATTCTCCTTAAACATAAAGAGAGGGCAGTGTGAGTTTATCTCATGTTTTTCAATTGATGGAATTTATTACGTGACACCATACAGTAAATACAGATCTCACGAACTGTATTTTTTGAGTCAGAAATTTAACAGATATATCGTCTTTCTCTGCCTCAGCTTGCATCAAAGGCAGAGGAGAACCTGCACCTGGCTACAGGAGGAGATCTGGGCGAGAAGCGAGCACTGCTGGTATTTGCAGACACTCTGACGTTTCTGCTGGAAGGTGAACTAACAGGCCTGAAGCTCTGTGTGTGTCAATAGTTCTCCTTTTTTTTGCCTGGAATGCACTCCAGTAATTTGTTGGTGTGTATTCACAGGCATCGCTCGTGTGGTCGAGACTCATCAGCCGATCGTAGAGACATATTACGGTCCGGGCCATCTGTACACACTCATCACTCATCTGCAGCAGGAATGTGACCAACAAGTCCAGAAAATAGTCGACAAGTTCATCCAGCAGAGAGAATACCATAAAAAAGTGTGTATGACTTCTGAACTGTTTGACATGATGTTTTTAACTGCAAACCCGTACTCACTATGAACCTGTATCCGTCCTGTAGTTTCAAATTGTCCAGAGCAGCATGATGAAGAGCATCCCCGGTGACAGGATCGAGCCCAGGTATTTGCGTTTTGTCTCAGCAGCTTCCTGCACCCCCTTATTATTATTATTATTATTATTATTATTATTATTGCTTTATTGGGAATACTCAAGGTCCATTTAAAAGACATACAACACACATAGAAGTTAAATGATTGGTATAAGGCAATTATACCAATGCTTCCACATGACTGGTATTGTATTATACTGAGATGAGGATTTGATAGCAACATATGATATAATTATGAGAATCATTCAGGCAACAGATAATAATCATAATAATTTATACTTTATTAATCCCGCGAGGGGAAATTCTGTTTTGCACTCTGTCTAATGAACATGCTACACACACATGCACAAACAGGATCCTATGGACGTGCATTAATGGAGAGGTCTCAGAGTGAGGGGGCTGCCCACAGCAAGCTCTCCAGAGCAGTTTTGGGGTTCGGTGCGTTGCTCAAGGGTACCTCGGCAGTGCTCAGGAAGTGGACTGGCACCTCTCCAGCTACCAGACCAATTACCGGACTTGGTACCGACGACCCTCCGATTCCCAACCTTAGTCCCTACAGACTGAGCTACTGCCGCCCCAGATACATTTGTAGATCAGATTTCTAAACAGAGCTTGGAACACGTTAACGCCTACATTACAAAACATTTTAAGCAATATACGCATACAATCATTATAGGCAACCTGGAGCTTCTGGATGCTCGCCTTCTTAAACTTGACCCACAAGGGGGCATTATTAAGAGGGGTACAGTTATCTCTAAAGAGGTTCACTTTAACCGTATTTGAAAAACCAAGAGAACTTCCTTGCCAGCATGTTAGTTTGTGCATATAACATATGGCGCTGTCTATCGTCATCACATAATTCATCTGTAATGACGTGTCTCGGATACTTAGTAGCAAACTAACAGACCTCACTTGCCCTGACAAATAAAAGGATGGGAAAATAAGGTCCTTATCCCCTTTTGCTCTACAAATCAACACAGCGCTCTTCTTAGAATTGTATTTCACATCATATTTGACGCCATGATCAGAACATATCAGCAACTGTTGGAATCCAGCACTGCTAGGAGAAACAATAACCAAATCATCAGCAGACATAAGATGGTTAACAAGCACGTTGCCAACCAGACATCCTGTTTTACAGCTTCTTAACTGGTCTGATAGGTCGTTCATGTAGACATTAAAATGCACAGTGAAAGTAGCGCGCCCCCCCGTGCGATCTCCATTACCAACACCAAATGGCGCAGAGACTGAATTCCCCCCTTCTGTTTGCCTCTGTTGTATTTTTGTTAACACCTCTGTCTCCCATGAACAGGGAGCTGGACCCTGTCCTGACAGAAGTGACCCTGATGAATGCCCGGGCAGAGCTTTACCTGCGCTTTCTACGACGCCGCATGCTGGCCGACTTTGAAGTTGGGGATGCTCAGAGCGTCACACAGGGTAGATTTATTAAACACGTGGTCATGTATACTATGCTCTGATTCATTTTTTTATTAGTAGGTAATAATCTTGTAATATCTATGAAAATGAATGAGTTGTATTTTTGAACTCTTCTGTACATCCAGAACATCAGCAGAACGTGGAGAAGCTACTGAAACACTGTTTACTGAGCAGGACAATGCAAGAACTGATCGGCTACTACATCCCGATGGAGGAGTATTACATGAGAGAGTCCGTCAACAAGGTAATTCACTCAGTTTTAGGAGGTCAATGATGAAGAAATTAACAAAACTTTCAATTAACTAGCTTTTTAGAGCTTCCAGCTGCATTTCACAGTCTTCATCATTTAATAGCGTTTGCTCATTTCTGATTGAGAAAGCTAATTTTTCCCTATCATGTCATAAGAATCGACCCTTTAACATTAAATAATATTGAAAAGTAATTGGAAGAACAGGAGAAGGAGAACGCAAACAAGTAGATCTCATGTTAAGAATGTTTTGTCTGGTGACTTTACCCAACATCAAGGTTGAACTTGAATACTTTAAATATGAGTCTGATACTCTTGATCAACTACACACAAAAGCTGTAGTAGAGCCAGAGTCTCCATCAATCATTGACCATTTGTTCCAGTTTAGTCCATGAATCTTAGAAATTGTAGATGACAATATTAGCTGACTGTAAATAGCAACATTTACAATTAGCATTTCATATTCTATTGCAGGATTGTAAAGGAGGAGAAAATTCATATGCCATGATGTCTGGTTTATAAAATTATAAAATTCACATTAATCTTCCTTTTATAGGCTGTTACTATGGATACATATGAAAAGGGTCAGCTGACCTCCAGCATGGTGGACGACTGCTTCTACATAGTGAAGAAGTGCATCAGTAGGGCGTTATCCAGCTCCAGCATCGACTGCCTCTGTGCCATGATCAACCACGCTAACTCTGTGCTAGAGTCTGACTTCAGGTGATCCCTCGCTTTATTTTTCACCTGACTTTTTCTAAAACTTTAAATCACATCTCATGCCTTTATGAACCCCTCCTTGTTGTCTCTCTTCACCTGTCAGGGAGGTGTTGTATAATAAGCTGCGACAGGGCTTCCCCGCTACAACACTTCAGGACATCCAGCGCGGTGTGAGCAGTGCCGTCAGTCTGATGCAGAGCAGCTTACAGCAGGGCAAGTTCAACACAATGGGCATCGAGAGCGCTGAACACGCCAAAGCTGCTTTTCTGGTAATAGACAAACACACACACATCCCTGCCTCGTTTTCTTGAGTTACTTAGAAGTTGTTGAACAGACCCGCAAAACCTTTACTTTTTTTTTGTATGGGGCTGTTTCAAACAAGCAGTAGTTATTGAGAAATCAAATACACAATAAAAGATTTGTATGAGGAAAGTTGGGCTTCACTTTCACAGTAGTCTTTAGTGGAAGAAATTACAACTCCAAAAAACCTTTTAATGTGTTGGTCAAAATGTAATTTGGAGAAAAGAAAAAAAAAGCAACATGATGATAAAACATTGTGTTTTAAACTGGCAAAAGAGCAAAACACTGTCCTTTACAGTTTAAAGTCTACAATTCCAACTGACCAAATCATTTTCTTCCTATCACAGGTGACACTTAATAATGTGGAGGTGTGCAGTGAGAATATCACAACTTTAAAGAGGAACCTTGAGGTAAGGCTCACATCTGTCAAACCTCCTTTTATTTAGACTTCATTGTTTGAAAAATGTACTTTTATCTTCCCATTCCCAAAAGAACGACTGCTCCAAGTTGTTCAATCAGGGCGCCGGCTCTGGTGACCAAGCCAAGATTGAAAGCTGTCTGTCTGACCTCGTCAACACATCCGCAAAGTTCAAGGATCTCTTACAGGTAGGAGACAAAAAAAACACATTGATCCATTCTTTTCAGCTGAGAGTTGTGTATTTACACATCTATTTCCATTGGGGATCTGGTATGTTGTTGTTTTTTTTCATTAAAAAATATACATTTGGAGATGATAGCTTCTCAAATACTTTGTTTAGTCATTTTGTATCGAAGAATGAAGCTCCCTTGCCAAAGACTGCCCTTATTGTAAAGTGATACAAGACGTGTATCCAGTGTCTTGTAAATGTGGTATTATATTCACTTATCCTACACGTTTCATGTTCTGATGTGATTTTATTTCACAGGAGGGCTTGACTGAGTTAAACACAACAGCCATAAAGCCTCAAGTGAAGCCATGGATCAGCAGCTTCCTGTCCATCTCACACAACATAGAGGAGGTAAAGTTGTCAAAGAAAAAAAAAAAATCAATAAATAAATCAGAGGTAATTAAGCGGTCATGGTAACTGTTTTTGTTCCTCACAGGAGGAGTTTAATGACTATGAAGCTAATGATCCCTGGGTGCAGCAGCTCATCATAAACCTGGAGCAGCTCATGGCAGAGTTCAAGGTGCACTGTCTGAGCTCAGCTATTAGACAGAATATAATTGTTATCTTCCCTCCTGTATTTTAATCTTCTGTCTGTGTCCTCACCAGACGGCTCTCTCTTCAGTTATCTATGACACTCTGACCAGCCTGATGACCAGCTTGATATCTATTGAAATGGAAAAGACTGTCCTGAAGTGCTCATTCAGCAGGGTGAGGAGCAGGGCTCAGCCACAAGGTGGCAGCTGGTACCCTCTGCGTCGTGTCACATAACATCAGTGACACATGTGGTGAAAATCCTCAAGCAATGATTTATTAATGAGTCCTGAAAGGCCTGCAGGAGAAGAAGCTTTCACTCTGCACGATAGCGTTCCCCTATTTTTGCACAAAGAGATGATGGGAAACCTCTGTATAATGCATATACTTTTTATATCCCATATTTAAATCCTTTATTTTTGTTCTCTTCCTTATGTTTTGTTGTAGCTCGGAGGTCTGCAGTTTGATAAAGAGCTTCGTTCTCTGGTGGCGTACCTCACCACTGTGACCACCTGGACTATTAGGGACAAGTTTGCTCGTCTCACACAAATGGCCAACATCCTCAACCTGGAGCGGGTAATCTAGCTGGTTTTATACACACCAACACAGAATGAGCATAGTTACATCTAAACACATTTGATGAAGGACAGACATTGAAGTACTTCATTAATTCTACTTGTTAATTATATTATTGTACATATTGTCATTTGCATATTTATCAAGCAGCTTAAATGAAATGATGCACTACAGATAAATATTTGTATACAGTAAGAGTCTAAAGATTTGAAGACATTTTTTTATTATATTTTATTTAACCTTTTTTTTTAACCAGGTTGGTCCCATTGAGATTAAGAACCTCTTTTTTAAGGGAGACCTGGCCAAGACAGGCAGCAGCAAAAATGCAGAGTTACAGACAGAGACACAAAGATAGACACAGTACAATTTACAAAGATACATTTTGCATTGAAATAGAACAATCTATTATACCATCTAGAACCAGTCAAATCATCAATTCATTTTTGATTTGAAAACATTTAAGGACACTTGCTCCGCGAGTTTCAAGTCACTCTGCAACAGATTCCAGGCTGAGGGTGCAGAATACCCTGAAGCCCTTTTCCCAACTTCTGTTCAAGCGTTTGGGACAGAGAGCATAAAGATCTAAAGGCTTATGCTTAAATGTTGGACATGTGTTTTCATATAAATAGAAATAGTGAAGTTGATGGCTTCGCATTTATGCATTTCTTTCCAAGAAAAAATAAATATTTATTTTCATTGTTTTAATATCTACTATTATTCTAAAATGGGGAAAATATTAAACATAAAGAAAAATCCTCCCATTAGTAGGTGTGCCCTCGATACAGCTTACAGTTGCTAAATTATAATAATATAGTATACTGTAATATTGATAATACCGTTACTGTTGTGCGTCCAAACATTTGACTGGTAAAAATCTAGGTATAAATGAATGCATCAATAATAACATTAATGTTATATTTGATGTATTACTTTATTTATGACTTGGATGCAGACACATCTTGCAGTAGACGTTCTGCCTGATATATTAATATTGTAGTCGATCTTGATAAATATTTCCTGTTTTACTTGTTATTTTATGTCCTTTAAAGTATTCATATGTCTTTTATCATGTTTGTAAGTATGATATATATATATAGATATAGTATGATAAGCTGCTTATTGTGCTGCTGCCTGTTTAGGCCTGGACACTCTTGAAAAAAGATTTTTAATCTCAGTTAGATTTTTTTTCTCCTGGTTAAATAAAGTGTTCTGCTCAAATGTGAAATTAGCGGCATAATACGTTATTTTACTCTAGATACTTGTAATATTTTGCTTAAAATATTTGTCATTTTCCCAGCATGGTATTTCTGCTATACGGTCTTTTCCCGCAGGCTTACATACATACTTCTTTGTTTTGCAGGTAACTGAGATCTTGGACTACTGGGGTCCAAACTCAGGCCCCATGACATGGCGGCTGACCCCAGCAGAGGTTCGTCAGGTTCTTGCTCTGCGTATTGACTTCAGAAGTGAGGATATCAAAAGGCTGAGACTGTAACTCACGAAGAAGAGTGCTGGTTTACCAGGGCCAATGCTCCTGACAAGGAAGGCTTAATCCACGTTTGTGTAGCTGGACACGGGAAAGGGGATTTTGATTTTTTTTTTTCTAGCCTGAAACAAAGATACTTATTGCTCATCCCGCAGATTTCAGTTGAGTTTTCAGATTTCTGCTCCCCACCTGGCTGATATCAGTCTGCATCAGAGTGTCAGCTCAGTTTTTAATGGCATGTTTTTGTTACGATGTACAGATGGTAAAATGTTGATTCAAACAATGTGAAAATTGTAGGAATATTTCCTTTAATATGTAATTAAAATGTATATGTGTCACATGGGGAGTTTTTACCTGTGACTGGCTGTGGGAAACGAGGACACACTGGGACTAAGAGTGGAGCTCTGGGCTCTGTCAGTGAAACAGAGCAGTAATGAACATCATACCCATTAAAGTGACAGAAGCAGGTCAGACAGCTGATCCAGCCTAGTCATTCAATATATGAATAGCTCCTCGTCTGTGCTGATGGAACACTTTTAACCTAATAAATTGAGAGCTGCTGTGAAATACCTCTGATCCCTGCCATCCGCCACATTTCACGAAGTGCTGCCCTACTGCTATGCAAGACCTGTTCCAGATCTTTTTTTTTTTCTTTTTTTTTTACATATTCCTGGCAATAAATACAAAGCTGTGCTCACCTGCCAATGAGACATTACAAGTGCTCTAGTCTCATAACATTCAACCTAATTTCCCAGTATAAACGTAATTCTCTGAACAGATTAAATCACGTCAGCATACATTTTAACTTTTGCCATGATTGTTTTAATCCCCCTCCTCAAAATAATCAGACTCACAAACCCAGGAATAGTTAGGAAAAGTGTGGCTTTAATGTAAACACAACATTCGATTGGCTCAGCACAAACATTCCACATGAGAGCAACCAATAAACTACCAAATAGGATGGGGTGCAGCACAAAAACATTCACAGTAAAAAAAAATCTGGTATAATCATAATATATATATACAGTACGGTGCTTTTAAGGTGAAAATGGAGAGTAGGATATAGGGACTGATATGTGATAGATAAGAGTATACAGGGATGGGAGGATGAATTTCTGGGTGCACAGGTGAAAACGGAGAGCTGTACTTTTTCTCTGAGAAGAGAAATGTGACAGATGCGTGGGGAAGGGGGATGGATAAAAGGTTCCCTGTTACCTGATCAGAGGAGTTTTAGAAAACCCCCCCGACTCCCCATACAGAGGCTTCTTCAAATGATATTGTTCTCCTTGTGCAGTCTTCTATTTCTACACAGTTTCACATCAAAGGGTCAAGCACCACACAGAGAACAAGATGTCATTGGAGGGCTGCTTTCTACCCTCTGAACCGCAGACAGGTATCTGTGTACCTCAGTGTTTAATATCAGGAAACAAATATGTGGCACAGGGTCTCAGGAGGTAGGAGGAGGCATGTAGGGCATGAGGCTTAAATAAATAAATCATTCGATGATAATAAAATATTATATGTCACTTAAATAATGATGAGCATGAATAATATTTTTTTCCTCCTAATCCTGTCTGCCATCAGATGGATGGCACCAATATGACAGAGTTGTATTTGAATTTCATTGGCTGAGAGGCGTTTCCTCACGCTACAGGAGGCCAATAGAATGGGTCGGTCCCTCTGAACAGAAGAATCCTCTCTCACATTATGTTACAAAGTAAAAGGGAGAACAGAGAGTGGAACAGACCTGCAGGCTATTCAGTCGTGAGTGGGTCTAAGGGAGAGGGGAGCTTTGTCCCTTCTGAAAGTTAAAATAGCCTCCTTCCAAATCATGACCCTCAGCCACGCGTACAGCAACCTCCCCAACAACATCATCATCATCTCCACCTTCATACTCACAGCAGCTCTTCATATGCAGCACAACAGGCTATATTCAGTACAGATAGAAATGCCTCGAGACGTGCACATGTCACAGAGAATGGGACTGTATGCCACACCGTGGTTTAAAAATGACATTGCACACCCTTCATGTTATATTTCTGGGCCGGGTTTGCAAAAACAAGGCTCCAGGTGAATAAAACCCTGGTGCTGCCGCTTCTGACCTTACTAGATGTTGACATAGTCATCAACAGAACATGAAACATTCAGCTCAAAAACATAGTTTTAAAAGACAAAAGTGGGGTTGTATACTGAAAATAAAAAGGAAGGGAACAAATCATGGCAATAATCCAGTGTGGTGTCTGACGGCAGCTCTTTGGGTCCATTTGGACGTGTAGAATTACATATTTATGTGTTTAAGTATCATCAAAATTATCATTATTAACACCTCATACTCTCCACAACAACCTCTGTGCTTGGCCAGGCCTCAGTATAAGCCACATCCTCTAAGGTTGTTTGCAATAATGATGTCAGTGACAGCATCAAACACTACCTGGATGTTTCCTGTGTCTGTGGCACAGGTCAGGTGACAGTAGATCTCCTTATTGGGAGAGCGGTTCTTACTTTCAAACTGAACCTGAATATAAGCAGTGGCATCATCGTAAGTGTTAGCACCTGGGGGAGGAAAGAGAGAGAGAGAATTGAAGACAGAGCGAGGGACTAATCTTCATCACTGTGCTTGTGAAGCAGCTCTGCACTGAAGTGAAACGTTGGGGACTCTCACCTGTGTATTCTGGAAAACAGATAGACAGCGGGGACTTCTTAATCTTTTCAGCAAACAGATCTTTCTTGTTGAGGAAGAGGATGATTGAGGTGTCAATGAAGAACTTGTTGTTACAGATGGAGTCAAAGAGCATGAGTGACTCATGCATGCGGTTCTGCAAAAAGGATAAAAACACAGTGTAAAGTTGTGTATAAATGACTGATCCAGCAAAATTGGTAAAGTGTTGCTGATTAATAATATATTGATTTTCTTAAGGTTACACTCATAATTTAAATATTTATCTTTAAAGGGTTTTTTATTTTATTCCCACAGAAAAACATAATTTTAAAGGTTTCAAGTTTTTCCTGTTAACCTACAAAAGGCACCTGACTGAGATGAAATTCTCATGGTTAATATTTAAATCAGAGTAGAAGAAAGTAAAAGAAAAAAAATGAAAAAAAGGTAAATTGTTTGAGTATTTTATCCACCAGGACTCTCAGTTTTCATCCTATGACAGCATTCAAAGTACCTCCATGGATTGTGCAGCAGAGGGATTCAGATTGAATTAACTGAGTCACACTTACAGTTGTTTCATCTTCATGGAGCACCTGGTCATATCCGCTCAGAGCGACACAAAAGATAATGGCCGTCACATCTTCAAAGCAGTGGATCCACTTCTTCCTCTCTGACCTTTGACCCCCCACGTCAAACAGCCTGGAAAAAGTGAAGGAAGTCAATGGAGTCTCAGAGCTGTAATCCCCTGGACCTAATCTCAGACGAAATGCCTGAAACAAAGGCCAAGTAGTGGCGACTCTTATATACTGCAGAAGCTCCAAGTGATCTACCTGAAATGGAGGTTTTTGAAGGTGAAGTGGGTTTCGACGATACCAGTTGTCTTCACTCTGGTTCTCAGGATATCCTGCTCTGTGGGCTGGTACTCTGCAGCCCCGATACGATCTAGACTATCAAGGTAGCTGAGGGACGAATATCAAGAAGAACGTGGATTAAATGTCTAGATAACATTGAAAAATATCGTTTTTAAATCTGTTTATGGCACTCACTATTGAGCCGAGTCATTCAGTTGGTATTCTCGGGCACGGTTAAAGCACTCTTGAGTCCCGGCGTCAGACCAAACACGCTTCATGGCGGTCAGAAGCTCAGCAGAGTACGGCTCTGTGTCCTCCATACGACTCACCACATCACAAACCAGCTTGGCATCCGCCTGCATGAATACATTTAATAAGATTGGGGAAAGACGACAAAATTGTATGTACATATTCATCATTATCACTTGTTGCATGATTTTTCTATATTATAAATCTTCTCATACAAAATGATTCTCCATGAATTAATACTTCAAAGCAAAATCACTTATCAAAGAATCATTTTCAATAAATGTGAAAATACTACTAGCACTCAGACATCGACTAGACATGTTATCCAAAGCAGATGCTTTAATTTAATTAATCCGAAAACCCATTCCTGTTTCTGCACAATACACTGGAGCTGGAAGAGTAACGATAAGACTAACTTTTCTATCCTTGTCTCCAAACTCAATGCCCAGTGAGTCCATGGCTCGGAGGATGGCGGCCAAGCTCTGGATGGTGTTGCTGTAGACGACAGGCTTATACTGCTTCACATCATCCCCAGAAAAGCCATCTTCATGGATAATCCTGCAGGCGCACACAGATGTTAGCATCGAGCACGGACTAAAGAGGAAAAGTCACACTTTTCCATATGCTACCACAGACCCACACAGCTGTCCTTTCACAATAAAAGCTCCACATTTTCTTTAATAGCTTTATTAAGTTCTTGATCAATCCTTCCTGGTATCAGAACTACATACAGTAAATCTCAAAGTTCACCCTACCTTCTGCCTTCCATCTGTAAATCCTAAAATGCACCTTGAAGTGTGTCTGCACATAATGGGATGGGAATTGATCACATCCTCAGTCTGTGATCTTTAATTGGACAGTAATGTGATATTTAAGCCATTTATAATGTATGATGTGCAATGGAGTGGAATCGGTCAGAGCACCAATCAATCACACTAAACAGGACTCTACTGTTTCATCCAGTAAGGCACACTTAAACTCCTGATAATCTGGTCAACATTCAATTATCCATCAGAGCACCATCAGCCTGGCCTCCATCACAGTGAATCCAATTAATGATCAGTCATAACTTCCTTGTAGCTGACCTGCAGTCCACGTTTAAACTCGGCAGTTTCTTGTTATCTTCTTTGTTATCATTTATTGATGTTTGAGAAGGAAGATAAATAAGGGATAACGTCATGACATATATTCATCTTATCAGTGCACATTTTGCAGTTGTTTGTTAGCAGAAGTCAACCACCTTACCTGAAAATACCACATGCTCCCCAAACCTCATAAAAAGCATGAATTTAAACATTAACCAGCAGAGACAGAAGTAGAGGTGCAGTTTTTCATGCAGCAAAGGTCATTAGTAAATCTGGGCTACAGAAAACAGAAATAAAGAACCAATAGATTTTTTTTGCAAACAGGTCCAACTCCAAAGGTATTTATTTAACTACCATGTAAGATCTTACATTGTGCCATGATAGAAGAAGAGGGACCAGAAAATGTTACCATAAAGGTGATTGATCAAAAAAATTGCTTAAGTATTTTGTCAGTCAGCTAATTGATTCACCAACTAATCATTTTAGCTAGAAAATAATAAAATGGCTAGTGTTTATGCTTGAGATGCATCAGGGTCTTAATGAATTTAACATCGCCGATCATATTTATTGCATGCATGATAGGAGAATGGGCTCCAAATAATTATTAAGAATAAAAATATCTGCAAATACTTTCTTCAAAAATGTTAAATGTCATTATTCACATTAAACAAATAAGAAAACCAGGGAGTTTTTGTCTTCTGTGCATTAAAAACAACTCAAAACTTG